GATAAATGCTTAAAAATGTTATAAAAGCACAGCTTGCTGGCAACTTTGAAATCTGATGCATTCAGAAACCTTTTTGGATGTTTTATTTATAGCATTGTTTCGAATTAGAATGAACTTCATTTAATTCGAATGAATAGCACCATCATTCTATTCTCCAACATGTTTGCATTGGCACCCTGGAACGGGCCTTTGGCTTATGTAAATTTGGTTTCTATTTGATGAGTTTTTCACTCATCAACAGCAGCGAATCGAAGCATCAAGATTTGGGTTTACAAATAGGTTTTTGTTATGCCATTGTCTAAGCAATACAATGGTCCACCAGCAAAGATATGTTTGAGAGTATGTCTATATTGAAGAATCTTGTATTTATGAATAATTGAGTGGCAATAAGATATCTTCATATTACACATCTACGGTACAATGCAAAGTGAAGAGCTTATATCAGTGCAAAACACGCCGTTCTAACATTGATGATGTCTGTCAACGTATTTTTCGTTATACTGTGTCTTATTATAAGGTAAAGAAGAATGCTATTTCCTTTCTATATATTATCATCTGCGAAATACTTTAAGTTTTTCTCACTGTTGTGCCTAACATGTTGACCAGTCAAGCGTTTTAATCGACAAGAAAAATCGATGAAATATTGAAATTCAATTGTTTTAAACATATATTATCTTCACATCTTTGATTTTAATAAAATTTTGTCTACAGAACAGCAAAACTTGCACCCAAAATGAACACATCAGAAATAAGTGAGAAATTTAGAAAAATATTCAAAAATTACGATAAACGCATCCTTCCAAGTCATACAGGTATGAGTGTTTTACATAATACAATTATAAACAATTTTTTATATCAGCTAAATGTTATCCAAGTACTGAAAACATTTTGGTTTATTCTCCAAAAAAGACTGGTTCTTTATGGTTATTCATATTGAATTATCAATAAGAAAATCTGCTAACAGAAAATCTAGCTAATAGCAATCACGAATATTACTGATTTACTTTCCAATTGAAAATTTTTTAGTTGCCCGTTGTTAAGTAAACATTTCTGCTATAAACTCTCTATGGCGGGTTGGAAAAAAGGATAGTATAATTTCTTATTCCGCCTAAATAGTATCTCAGAAAAGAAGATTTTAATGGGAACATAGTACAAATTCTATCAAAATAATTAGTACTTTTACTATTTATATTAAATGAGTATAAAAATATTTTTTAATATTGCTTAGCTTTATTACTTCTCATCATTAATCAATTTAAAATAAATAGTAAATTGTAGATTGACATAACTTAATAGAATAACGTGTGGCTGTCACTGTCACTGTTACTTTTACTGATACTATCACTGTCACTGTCGCTATCACTGTCAGTGTCACTGTCACTGTCTATGTCACTATCACTGTCACTGTCACTTTCACTTTCACTGTCACTGCCACTGCCACTGCCACTGTCACGGTAACTGTCACTGTCACTGTCACTGCCACTGCCACTGTCACTGCCACTGTCACCGTCACTGTCACTATCACTGTCACTGCCACTGTCACTGTCTATGTCACTGTCTATGTCACTGTCTATGTCACTGTCACTGTCACTTTCACTATCACTGTCACTGCCACGGTCATTGCCACTGCCACTGCCACTGTCACTGTCTATGTCACTGCCACTGTCACTGTCACTGTCACTGCCACTGCCACTGTCACTGTCTCTGTCACTGCCACTGTCACTGCCACGGTCACTGCCACTGCCACTGTCACTGTCGCTGTCACTGTCACTGCCTCTTTCGCTGTCACTGTCACTGTCACTTTCACTGTCACTGTCACTTTCGCCATCAATATCACTTTAACAGACTGTCATTTAACTCTATCTTTCTAAATAGGTGAACCTGTTAATGTTTCGATGCAGTTTTATGTCGTCGATATGGTTCCTATTAAAAGATATTATATGGTAAGAAAGTATGATGATAGCAATATTGACATTATAGTCAAAACATTGTAGAATTGGCACTATAATTGAGTAATAAAATGCAGGCTTTGTCAACACTTCCAAAACAATATCGTAGTGTCATTATACCAAGCTAATTTTAGTGCAAGGCTGAATACTGTTAGTTAAGTAGTAATAATCTAGGCGTGAGAGACATAGGTGCCGGGGGCTGGGGGGCTGGCACCCCTCTAATCAGGCAAAGTTTATTGCATTTCAGGTTTCATTCGGGCATTTCTATCTCAATAAAGCAAGCGGGCAGGATCCGTTCTAAGCCTCCCTAAGCATCCCTTACGCCAAGGGCACTGCCGACAAAAGATTATATCATACCATACTACATTCTAACATGCTATATTAAATATTTTTCATATTTCAAAGTATGATAGCACGTTATACAATAAAATACTTGTTATATTTCAGTACATACTGTTTTATTACATCATATTTCTTGCATATTTCTATGTTTAAAAAGTTGCTTCCTTTATCTTCTTGTATCATATTATAGCATACATATTCTACAACAATGATATATAATTCATAACATATACTATTCTACATTTCATATCATGTCATACCGCAACAAATTATGAACATTAATTTAATCAATCTACTTAAAATTCGAAAATTTTTTTTGCAAACAGCATATGGATGTCAATTTGTTTGTTCGACAATTCTGGAGAGATCACAGACTTGATCTTTCTTTAAATCGTTCTGAATGGAAAGCATTTGGAATCGAGGCCTTCAAAGATATCTGGGTGCCTGAAGTCTACTTCCCAGCTGCAAAGAAAGGCAAATGGCATGATCTTATGAAGCCAAACACTGCCTTACACATTCATCATGGGGGAGAAATATTTCTAAGTCGTGGGTTTGTGTCACTGTTTTTATTTTCATGAGAATTACATGTTTTTTTTTAATAGTGATCTGTTGAATTGTTTGTAAAGACTAAAAGAGCTTCAGTTGTTATGGAGTTTATTGTATACAGGTTCTACATCCATGTTCAATTTTTATCAAGAATCTGACATTTGAGTATGTTTATCATATAAGTAATTTTGCACCATGCTTTTTTGCACTATGCTTTTTAAATATATTTAAGTTTCTGATCTTAAGCTAATTTTATCTTTCTGATTGAAAATGATTGGCTTGTTTTTGCTTGAAAAGAAACGTGATAGCTACTACCAAACTAAGAAAAGAGTGTTAGTATAAACAAGACAAAGATAGCTAGGTATAATAAAGTTTGCATTTGTACTTTGCAACATAGAACAAAGAGATTTAATCACACCATCTCTTTACTACAGCGCCTCACAGACTATTTATTGTCCAATGGACCTTCGAAATTTTCCATTCGATCAACAAAGATGCCAGATGGATATCAGACTTTGTAAGTAGCTAGCAAGTCAATATTTTGTCATTGATTCATCCTTTTATAGAGGCGTTGCTCTTTATTTAAAACAAACAGTTCGTATCGAAAAGTGGCCATTTCAGAATGTGGCAGTTGCCAGTTGTTTCAAAGTTCCGAGATTTACAACGATCTTCTTGGCAGCATACGTCAAATAGACTCACTACTTCATTTTAAACAAAAGCTATTACAATTTGTATAGACACAGGGATACGGTCCTAAAAGTTAGAAAGGGGACTGTGCTGTAGGGAGCGTCTGGAAGCCACACCAAAGACAACACCAAATGCTGCATCATCTGACATTATGACATAATATACTTGCATTTCTATAAAGATTCTTTGTTGTGTATATGAAATCATTCAAACAGTTCACCGACTCTTAAAGGCTAATGGAAATTGCTCATTAATGGAAAACCAATAATAAGTAAAGGTTAAATTTACATTGCCACGTAAGCAAATTGCCCAACCAAACACACACTGACCTGTTTAAGGAAGGGTTAACCCCCCTTCCCTCCTCTTCTCTCCCTTCCCCTTTTCTCCCCACCCCTCCCCTCACCTCCCCTTATCATGAGCTTTACTGCAACAATATACATGAATTTGACGCAATGGCCTAAATTTGCTTGTTTTTACTCTTTGGAGTTTGGAGTTGAAAGTTTCAAATGTTTGGTTTGAACTTTGCACTAAGGTCGTTACCTGCAAATAACGAGAATCTGAATGAGCCTTGTTTACTAAAGTAATCATAAATATGCTTATTCACGTAACTATAAATACCACACCACACTGACAACTTGAAGGGAGCCGGCTATTGATAAAAAGACATTATTTTGTACATGAAACAAGAAACACTATGTTAATTGGATATGAAAATTTGGACTTTCATGAAAAATTAATGAGTTCGGCCTGCTAGCGGCGTAGGTATGTATTAGAGACGTCAATAAATTCATATTCAAAGCGGGATGGAAGTTGAAAATTAATGATATCCAGCCGACTTGTTCGATCAATCAAGCATTGAATATGATATTACTTAATGTGACGTCAATGAAATTCATTTCTACCTGAATACCTAGCTCAGAAGCTAATCGTAGGTTGTTAGAAAGTACTCATGAAATGCTTGAGCAGTGAAAGCTCACCCTCACTAGGGTGTTTCTCTTTTATTATGCTGTTAACGCGTATTTGTCCACGCGCACTAGCCAAAATCTTGTCATTGATATAGTTAACATCCCTACACAAAGACCTAGTAAATTAAAATATAGCCTGAGTTTTGGAATCAAGCTGCCATCTAATTAGGACAAATCCAGCTTTAGAGTTGTTGAAATAGGGTCCTGTTTGCAGATCACTAAGATTAAAACTGCAAGATAATGAGACTGAACTTGACAAAAAATGAAACTTAGAGGGTTGAAATTTTGAATACACAGTGAAAGTTTCTGCAATATATCTAATTGCTATATTTTTGCTGAGAATTTTTGCTGATTTAGGAGTAAAAGCAAGTCAATTATTTTCAATAAAACTCTGAACGGAAAAAATGGTTAGAACTTTCATAGAAACGACTTTAAGAAACCCAAAGTGCTCATTTCCCATCCAACCACGTTAAATATTCAAAATGAAAGGTAAAATTGTAGGGTTTCATGCGCTGTTGTTTATCGTACCACGTGGTTTAGAATAACCTTTTTAACTCTTCAAAACCAGATGCCTATGACAACAAACACTGCACTCTGGATTGGAACCTGGAACGTGGAGGGCCTATCTTCGTTAACAATGACCTTCAGGTGTCTGAATTTTCAGTCAAGTCCATGTCATACAGCAAGTCAGTGGTAAATGTAAGCAAATCAGGTAATATCTCGCTGTATTTACTACATTGGTTATCATCAACTGGTTAGAATGAAACAAATGTTTTAACCGCAATAATGAATAGGCAACAAATCATATTGAAACTGTTTTTGATACTACTCATTTCATTCGTTTAAAGATAGTTTTCTTACTCTTGTCTTATATCTATAGCTAGCTTCTTCTTTTTTTTCATTTCCATCCTACCGAATAATTGACTTGCAGGTGTTTCTAATAACTCTGATTCGTGTACGGGCCAAATCGATACGCGTAACAGGCGGAACACGCGGAACGGGCGAAACAGGGGGAACACGCGGAACACGCGGAACATGCGGAACATGCGGAAAAGTGAAATTGAATATTTTGCATAATTCTTTAGTTTCTCAAAGATGAAAAATTGAAATAAAGGTCTATCCATAATATTGGTGATTTTAGGTTTTTAGTGTTCTATTTTAGATCAACAGGAGGTTAATATTCTTTTCAATGACGTCATTGTGCTCAAGCATCAAAAAGGGACCTTGCAAGAAATTATAGTAAATAGATGTTATTTGTAGAAGAAGCTCTTATTTGTAAAGACATATATCTTCAAGTTACTTGTTGCTCAATTTTGAAAATTGGCATTTTTTCAGCTAGTTACGATGTTTTGTCGACTACTTTCATTCTGGAAAGACAACGAAGTTTCTATTTACTCAATTACATATTTCCTTGTGGCATGATTGTTATTCTAAGCTGGGTAGGTTTCTGGATCGACTACCGTTCAACGCCGGCAAGGGCTTCTCTGGGAATCACGACAGTTTTAACAATTACAACCCTCACAAACAGCATTCGAGCGGCAATGCCTCAAGTTGTTTACACAAAAGCCATTGATGTTTACCTTCTAACTTGTTTTGTGTTCGTGTTTGCATCAATAATCGAATTTGCGATCGTTGGCATAACTGATGTCAAATGGCAGAAGTCCTACAAAAAGAAGAGGCGAAAAATGAAGGTGAAGAGATATAGCTGTTAACTCTTGTTAACATAACCATTGTGTCACAGCCTCTTGATATGGTTTTTAATAGGTGGTTCTAGCCGAGTTTTCCTGGTTCTAATAGCTTATTTGCCTGATGTTCGAACTATCCCTGGTTATCATTGTAAATAATACATTTCAAAACCTGAAAAGATAACGGGTTGGAGAAGTTCGAGATAACGGGAGTTCGAATTAAGCAAAGTCGACTTATCAACGTTCAGCTGTATACTGTGTAACTTATTTTTGTAAATTTCCGTTACTAATGGCTACAGTCTAACGATAAATAATTTGTCTTCAAAACATATAAAAAGTTACACTTTCCCAATGCCAAACACTGCAATTAAGCAAAAAGAAACAAATATGTAGTATCATCTTTGTAGCTGACTTGTAGAAGATGAGCTTGAATAGTTTGCAGTCTCTGGTTTCTTTTCATAAGTTTTAAGTGTAGATGCGTACTTCTAAAATGAATAAAACCTCTTCCATGGATTTTCTTTCCCATGAAATGCAATCCATTACATCATTCTGGTTGGCGTTCCCATTTATATTCCTGAAAGTTAATAAGGAATAAAAGTAACACGTTAACAGATATCTGTACGTTTAAATTGCAGGAGAAGGAAAAACGAGCAGACCTTAATGAAGAAATACCGATGCAACAGCTACGGAAACAGCCAGGTAAGCGAGACGCAAGTCAGTCACACAGCAACTCAGAGGCTCACAATGAAACACTTGGTGATGAGATATGCCACAGCTCGATCAGCCTCCATGCAGAAGTCAGTGCTGCAAACAACACAACTGAAATAAAGAGACGGAATATCAAAACGAAAAATGTAGAGACTAAAGACAAATCTGCAATGAAACGGTCAACTACTTCAAACAAAAACTGTAGTTGTTGCCTTTTAGTAGTGTGGAGAAAAATAGTCGACTACCTTGCTGAAAAGCACACAAAAACGAGAAATCATGGACACATTATAGACAGACTCTCAAGGGTTATTTTCCCTATTTTGTTCTTTATTTTCAATGTACTGTTTTTCACTACTGTTTATCTTAAAGGTAAGAATACAAAACTTTGATTGATAGTAAAGTATACATAATAAACCAGCCTCTAATTCTCAAAATATTGTCAAGAAATAGCGGCAATAAATGTAACTCTCGCAAGAAAGGCAATGCTATTATCTTGTTGTTAATTGAATATGATTTTTTAAGTTAAATTCAAAGCAGTCTGATTGTTCAAAAAACTCATTGAAATCACGGCCTGGAGTCATTGATTATAACAGAATGGCAAGTTAAAAAACTTTGTTTGAACACAAGCACGCAACAGTCTAGTTTTAGATCTAAATTTGGATTTAGAAATTTGAGTGTAAGTATGAAGTAGCAAGGCATGTACTTGTAACAACAAGGTAAGAGTTGAGATGAAGCAATAAACTGAAAACACACCTTCAGCTGATTACCTTCAACGGTAATGGCTTAGTGAGGATCCCACGAAATTGAAGAATTTTTCGTTAGCCCTTCTTGTACTGCTTCAATACAAGTAAGGCACTCTAATTATTGCTTCGATAGTTTAGCTTAATGGACAATGATCGAGCGGGAACATCGATGTTTGTAATTTAAGGCATTCATGAATTTTCTCGCTAAAGAATTCTATGGTTAGGTTATTGGGGTAAGATGGAGTTTGGTTGGTGTGTCCGCATACCAATAAATACGTTATTAGACCATAAGAAAGCAACTGAAAATAATTTTTTTTAAATTGTGTCCGGTCTTCATTCGAAAAAACACTGCTCCATAGCACAAGCAAAGTTCTTTATCAGATGAGGTAACACAATGGAATAAATCATTATTCATATTATACGAAAACAAAACATGATTGCATAAACAGCAAAGTTGAAGAGCAGCAATTTACAATGTAATACGCAAAGGACTATCAAGATCTGATCACAGAAAGTCGTTGATATCTTTACAAAAAAATATACAAAACGCAATTATACATATTCATACATCGTTCAATTATCAAAGCAGGAAATTAACAAGAATAATGCAACACATTTTAATTAAAGATCTTCCTATTGGAAAATATCCTTTAAAGTCATTTACGCCTATAGAACACTTTCTATTAATTTTTATACTCTTAAAGAAATGTTGATACATGGCACTTTTACGTGAAAGCAAGCCAGCTTCTAGACACATTTGCTTTTAGACAACCTGAGTAAATCAATTCAGTTTAGGTGAATGAAAATCTAGTTAACTAAGAGGGGCTCCATACGTCTGACTACCTGATGCATTATTATCTACGCTAGCTGAAGAGGTAAAAAATCTGCTGTGCAAAGGCACATTAAAATCTAATTAATCTTTGCATTACTCTTTACCTATAAACAAAAAAGCGTTACTCAGCATAAACAGACTCAGCATTAACTATCATTATTCCAAATGCTGTAAGACTTGGCAACAAATCGAAAAATACAGAAAACAGATTAATTGAATTGACTGAGATTTCCCTAATGAAGATGACAAATATCCCAGTTTTTAAATATATGTTTACATGAAAAAGAAAAACGAGTTCTTTGTACACTATATTGGCACAAACTACAACTGGCACAGAAAACTCGAAATGCAACGTATAAAAAGTAATACAAATTCTACTTGTTTACTGACAGAAATCAAACAATCGGTGGGGAATATAATTTGATGGAGACGGATCACCATTTTGTTTTCCCCACTTTTTTACAATTTGATGATGATTCAATAGTTTTAATAAGCTCAAAAAGCAAGGTAGGTTTTAGGCAATAATTATTAGTAATATTGTCATCCTTGTATTAAGGTGTGATTCAAATGAAATTCTGTAATTGATTATGAATATATCTTAATACAAACGCTAGTCAAAACATGTTTAGAATCTTGGTAGAAATCCTAATTGGAGGAGACTCGGCGAACTCCGATTTGAGTTCTTCGAGCCTCCTCGTAGCATCGAGGTCATCAAAATGCTCCTGTTTTCTAACTGCAGTGTTTTCCTGTGATCTGAAAGACGGAAATGTCGCTTAACTTGGCTTGGTTACCTACCGACAACAGGAGATTTATAAATGGCTGGGTACAACTGTAAGGGTCGACTGATACACTCTTTTTTTATAAGAACCAGTAAATTTTAGTTCAGGCTGACTGTTCTTAATTTTTTCGAAAATCTGAGGCTGGATTGTTCTTAATTTGTTCTTAAATTAAGCAGTGCTATTGCTAGCTTTTTTGCTCTAAGGAGGTGTTCAGGCCTCATTTGCCAACAAAGTGAGTCAGACAGCCTTAATTTGCTGACAAATTTGAATATTCACCGAAAAAGCACCCACACATCGCTAAAAATCCTCGATTTGGAGAAAAACGTTGTTAAAAATTGCATTTTGCAGAAGCTCAGCCTCAGCTTGCTCTTAATTTGTTCTTAACTTTTGACAAGTTTTGAGGCTCGTGTTCTTATAAAATTGTTCTTATAAAAAAAAGAGTGTAAACAAGAAATGCAGTGCTATAATTACAGGCAGATCAATTGATTAGAGGCGCCTTCAAAACGATATGACGACTGTCCTTTACTCCAAGACTGTCAAAGACTAGGGTAAATTCATTCAAAATTGAACACCTCTGCTACGTAAAGATTCCTTGCCAATTGCAACGCCTTCGTTTGATCTAATAGGGTCACATGGCTCAAAACATTCGTTACCATTCACTGAATCTGTATCACTGTCACTAAAATCACTTTCAGACCAATCTGCAACTTTGCTGGATATTTTTCTACGCTTCTTTGGCACTGGTTTTTGTTTTTTTGGCTTCGTTACCTTGGGCACTGATTTTTGCTTTTTTGGTTTCGTTACCTTGGGCACTGGTTTTTGCTTTATTGGTTTCGTTTCCTTCGGCACTGGTTTTTGTTTTTTTGGTTTCGTTTCCTTCGGTATTGATTCTTGTATTTTTGCATTTGTTTGTGCTTTTTTAGTTAATGTAGGAGCTTGTGCCTTTTGGGTTTTTCTTTGAGTTTTAGCTTTTGAATTACTACCAGACACTGTCTTCATCTCTGGTTGATGAGAAGCGCTGCTATCTCTTATGACTCTATTCCACATTAACTCGTTACGCTGATTTGCATTTGCACCAGTTGCCGTTATTTTTTGGCTGCTTTCATTTGCATTTTTGCGAATAGCCGATCTGCTAGCCTCTGCAACACTAGCTCGCTTAGCCTCAACAAGATCTTCAAAACTGTCTCTTGGGTTGCGCTTAACGTTTTTGCCGGCAGTCGCCGTCAGTTTGGTTTCCTTCAGGTCTGGAATTCGTGCAGGGTGTGCTGAAAGAAGAGCAGGCCACAAGAATAGAGCAGTAAATCTTGCTGAGAGCGTCGCGTAGTCTTGCGTGTTTCTAAAGGAATTCTTAGTTTGAGGACTGTCTTTTATTGCTAACGAAGGTTGAAGACTTGTCGCTAACGAACTTGGTAGGCCATTCATTTTACATGTTCGCAGGGCGGTGCCTTCCTGTGGATTGTGACTGATAGCAGCTGACTCACCACTGACTGAGTGTACGCTAGAATCTCCAGGCACATCCAAAAGGCTAGGGACACCACTGCCCTTGGAAGAATCAGTGGCTATAACCTTAAATGAATCGGCTGGTTGATCATCACTTTTGCAAGGGCTATTGGAGTCATTTGAGGTACTCAGCTCAGCACCACCAGTTTGGCCACTAACTTTGCTTGTTTCCGTTGATGTGCTGGCGTTGTTCTGATTTTTTGTTTGGTGGTCAGACAATTGTAGAAGTCTCTGTCGATGCAATAAAAGCTGGCGGAATGCTTTTAGTGTGACAAGATTAGGTGCAATTGGGGTGATTTGGGGGAAAGAGGGCGGAACTTTTCGGCCCATGGGTGGAGAGTCTTTGTTTTTATTCCCTGCTGTGCTGCTAGGATTGGTTGTGTTAGAGGCAGTAGTGTTTCCATTTGCAGATGTGCTCGCTGCAGCTGCCTGCATACGCTTCATGATACTTGCATAGTCGATTTTGAATACCTGTTATCAACAAAAAAACATAGGACTTGAATAAATCAGCATCATGACAGATGTAGCCCTGGCAACGTCATAAGTGAAAAACTTTATTATAAAGCTGAGGGTTTGACAACTGCAAAAAAAGCACGTAGAACAAGAATCTCAGTCTTGCGTATGCGTCCCTCATCCGCTTCTTAACTAAAATTGCTATTAATTGTTATTAAATTCAAGAAAGCCTATAAATCTTATAAAAGTGTGAAGGTGGGGTAGATCCTGTTTAGGGCCCAAAAAGCATAGGGGTCACACGGTCGAAAGCCCTGATGAGTGTCAATTTTAAAACCTACATTTTTCCCATTCGTTTTTATAAGTAAGGCTTCAAAGCCTAAGAGTAAAATACATGGGAAAGAGAAAAGCTAGTTTTATATTTAGTCCTGAACAGACATACATACCTCAAGAAGGATTGTGAAAGGCCCCAAGTTTCCGGGCATGTTGGCGATATTAACGGGTCTCATAGGCCGAATGCCAAGATTTTCTGGACCGTTAACCGTGTCCTTTAGATCAACCAACGGGTATGTAACCTTTAAGCGCTGGTATCTAACCAGATTTTCAACTTCCCTTTTGTCACGAAGCCAGTGAAGGTTTTCGAGTTCCTTAAACTGTTTGTTGTTAAAAGTGATCAGCCTGGATTTTTCTTTACTGTCTTCCAGTTTGTCAATTTGCAATTTCAAAAGGAACAAATCCCTTTTCACATCGACGTATGTTGCAATTTGAGTCTGATATCGACCTAGTAAACGCTGTAGGTAAAGCAAAATTGAGTTAAAGGACTTACTGGAACTAAAAAAAAGGAAAGTAGACTGAACCATAGTTTTTTTCTTACAGACAGCTGAGTAGGAGTCAAGGGTTTAATATCCACGTTTATTTAATTCCTATATTTATTAAGTTCCTAAGCATACAATTTCTTTTTACGTTTTGTTTGTTTAAATGTACAACGTACTCCTTTATTTATTTCGTCTACTGGGTTTTTTCTCTGCTCGCTCTCCCTCATAATCCTTAAACAGCTCTGCGATGTGCAAAAGCTTGAGTGTCCTACATCACCTTTTGCGATGGTTAGGAATTTCTGACGCATCTATATTGCGAGAGGCATAAAAAGACTAATAAATACGATAAAATTAACGATTGGTGAAGTGCAAACTATGCAACAGCTCTAGTGTACGGGAAAAAACATTGAAAAATATGTACAATGGGGGCTCAGGAACAAATTTTCCAAAAACACCTACCTCACCAGCTTCAAGAATAGTTTCACATCGGCTATCAAGGAATTCGTTTTCGTCACACGAATATTCATCAGGCATCTCGTATTCGGGATCATTTTCCTCCTTTTGCTTTAAAAAAATTATAAAGATGATTATCAACACAAGGAGAAATTCCTTTAGTGAAATTCTCAGAACCCTTTGAGCAATAGTTTTTGTCAGTTCTTGACCAGCCCACTTAACATTAACACGTCTGCAAGAACCTGGAATGAGTTGAAAACGGGAAAAGTGCAAATGCTTGAACGAATGAATCACTTCCAAATGAGCTTACTTACAAGAAATATCCAATTAATTTTATTTTTCATAGAAATTCCTACTGAAAAGATTGGCTATAATAGATTTAAAATTTAGAAACAATTTAGAAGCTTTATCCACCGTAAGCTAGCAAACCAAACTCGCAAGTTTTATCTTCGGTAAAATATATTCTAATTGAGATAAAAAACCATTATTTCAACCAGGAAAGCTTGCTAAGGCGCGGAGCGTAATTATAAGGCAATATCTGTAAAAACATTACAGTCAAAGACAAGAAGCTAATGAATTGAGAAGGGAGATGATCCATTCAAACATCTCATATCAAAATATTACGCTTATTGAAGATGTACACCAATTTTATCCGCAGCGTCCTAAGTTCCTAATGCCAATGCATTTTATCCCAAAAATAATTCTAAGTTTCGCAAGCCTTTTCAAAGACTTTGAGAAGCACAAACAAAATGTATAGAACATTTAACTTAACTCGATGTCTGCAAATAGTCAACATAGTCATTCACCTTTTCAATATCGTTCTCACTATCAGAAGTTCTGCAATCATCTTCTTCTTCTTCGGATTCTTCCTCGAACTCTTCTGATGTTATAGCACCGTCCTCGTCAGCTAATTCCTTAACATCGCTTCCATTTTCACTTACAATCGTTTTACGTTTCTTAACATTAATTTTCCTCATCTGTAGCGTTCTCTTCTTTCGCTTTCTGTGAGTTGTAGGAGCTCCTTTTACTGATCCACACTGTGGCTTTTCTTGTCCCTGTAAAAAGCATTGCAGAACTTTTCAAAATTCGCAACGAAAAAGAGACCACTTTGATAGAAAACGTTCTTCAAATGTACCAGATCTTTTAAAGAAACTTTAAGTAGGCGATAAATTATTTTGAACTTTTTGGCTTAAATTCTCACATTGTCAGGGCACGTTGCAATTTTACACTTAACGTTAAGTAAACTGGTTTTCAAAAGTATTTTACAGGCTCCTAAGAAAAACGAAAATGATGAAATCTAGTAGCAGTGACATGATTTCGAGCTTGAAAGATAAAAACTTACTTTTTTTCCTTCCGACGGTTCACCAACGTCCAGTTTCTACAAAATTGGAAAAAAGTTTCTTGTTAATTGACTCAAATCAACAATCCTGTCCAAAACCTCACAGGACCATGCAGTCGAGTTCCTAGCATTGCATAGTTTCTCTTAACCCCCTCCCCCCTCCGAATGATTTTTTGTAGCACATTTTATTCATATTTTATTGTGGCACAAATTTGGACATCAAAAGCCATTTTTAAAGTATTGATATAATACAACTGAGTAATTTGCGATGGGTTGGGATGCGTGCAACATTTTTGGAAGTTTTTCGAAGGCCTTGTTAGGGAATTACATATGAAATATTAGGCTAGAGCTTTTCTTCAAAAGCCTCAGCCATTTTAGAGCAGGGTCATGAATAATGTAAAATTACTGGAAGAAAAACAGGTTCAAGCATTTTTGATCAAAACTTTGAAGACAGTCCGACCAATACAGACCCCTACAGCCCCCTACATCCCCCTACAGTCCCCTACATCCCCCTACAGCCCTCTACAGCCCCTCCTGCCCCTATTGTTCGAAATTATTGCAAAGAGAGCATATCAGGTGAGAGAGCTTGCACAAAACTCATATCCTATACAATTTTGCAAATACTGCAAATTAAGGATGGGTGCAGACTGTCCTCAAAAAAGATTCGCAAGATATTTGGAGCCTAAATCGTCGAAAGAGCCAAGATATACTATACACAAATCACAAAAAAGAAATATTGGAAGAGTAAGAAGCATAAAAACAACTCACATCAAAATCGATGTTTGGAATTTCGTGGTTTCTATGCACAAAATAATTCAGCAAATGTTTCTTCTTCTGGATTTTTATGCGATATGTTTCATACTGAAGAAAATAAAAACCAAACGTCAAGTATGGACAGATTTCGAAGTATCATCGATATGGGAGTGCTACGAAAGGTTTAAAGATATCTTTCATAGATTACAAGTAAAAAGAAACTACGGTCGGTTACAAAAAAGTGCCATAATGAATATATAGAGACCAAGCATTGATTATACTGAGAAAAAACGATGAGTCATTACTGAACTCGCGACCAGTGACTGCAAAGTTGCTATGTTGTGTCTCTGTACGTCGCTGCTACGTTGTTACGTTGTGACACTGTACGTCGCTGCAACGTTTCAGTCACACCCTGGTCTAGCCTTGATCATGTCATTTGCTCATATTTTCTCTCAGTCTATTTTCTCAAATCTTTTTCTCCTTTCAAATATTGCTTAAAAACATTAACAGCTTTTCTTTTGGTAAATTTCCAAAAAAAGGAATTGAAAGATTTGAAAAACGATTCAAGTAAGAAGTTTTTTCTATTAGTAGCAGAGAAAAGCTAGATAAAATTGGAAAAGGGAAACAAAAATTGTGTGGGTAGGGTAAGGGAAAGTAATTGGATATATTATTTTATCATTTTATGGCTTCTTGCAAACCAGCATTGCTGAATGGGTTACCACACTTAATAAATAAAAATGAAATAAAATATCCAAGAATATTCACTTCATCTCTCTGAATGATTCTATATCTTCGCCAACACATGTTGTCTGTCCTTCCTGGAACATGTTTTGATACTTGAGTCCATTTTCCTAAAAATACGACAACATTGCTACTGTTAGAACAAACGAAAGCAACTGTTTAAACAAATGAAGCGCCAATGCCCAATATCCAAGTTTTTTATATTACACAACATCCTCCGTTCTGTTAAATAAATAAAAAAATATTCATTAATCTACGGATTATTCAAAGATACAAAGGAGTTAAGATTTTGCTTTAAAATTTTACTTACCGACTCCGTATTTAGCAACGGCTTCTAGAAGCTGCACGTCCTCCTTTTTCGACCATTTTCTTCGCAGTTTCAAGTCAGGGTGGTAAAAATTTACCCACCTATAAATGAGACAGAAAATATCCGTATCAAAATAAGACAAAACGTTACCCTGATTTAGCATATCGTCTTCATTTAATGAAAATTACTGTTTACTGGTCTGTCATATAGCATTCAATGACGTGTAGGTAGAGCTGTACATCAAGGTCATTATCGAGACTGATAAATAGTAAATACTGCGAGTATCGTCGTTCAGGGCCCAAAGATATACTTATGCACCAACCTTTCTCTGCAAGAGCAATCGCTTCGGCCTGGGATATGTTGGCTTATCTTCTTCCATTTCCCAACACCATAAATGTTGCAGTATTTGAGTAGAAGCTGAAATTGAACGAATCATGATCACAAAACGAACGCATATTTGTCCATCCAACTTCGAACACGATAACGTTGGGCGACCAAACATGATGGAAAAGCGATCCAATTTTTCACTTAACATGATGCTTGGCCAAATTTTGGGTGAAATGTTAGATAGTTGGTCATTAAGGTTGGGTAACTAAGAAAAATCAAAAGAAAATGTTGGGTCAAATGTTGGGTCAAAAATTGGGTGAAATGTTTCATCTTTGACGAGGGCTCAAGGAAACAACAAACATGGTAGGTGTCCTATTCTTGGAGCACCTCGGGCAAGAAGGTGCATTGGCTTGAAGAGAGCCATTTGAATGCGACTCTATTAAAGTACAGCAGTGTCTCTAGATAGGCACAAATATCACGAGGCGCGAGAAACCTGAACCGACCTGCTATAGAATACATCAGCTTCCATCAATATTATTTCGTTTTCAAACTACTTAATTCCATTTGCAAGTATTTTAGAAAACATTGTTTGCAACAGCACACGATATTGATGGTCAGTGAATTCCGAAACATTCACGATATCGACATAATTCATATAGCCAATATTCCGATAGAAAATTACACAGACTTCCCAATAACAAGCATAACGTTATATACACAGTTTCAACCAAAGAGGGAGCAATTTATACAAGATTTAATATCATCAAAAAACTATAAGTCAAAACACCTCATTCTCTTCTTTGGTCCATTTGCCCTTCTTTAACCCAGGTTGAACGCCCTTCCTATAGCGAATCAGGCATTGCATGGGCAATCTCCCTTCAAGCATATTCGCCACTGAAAATAAGAATTGGTACAATATGCTACAATAAAGCGGCTGTGACATTCAAGAAGCTATGAATTAAAATCAAAATGGTTACACTTAGCTTCAGTTTCAGCCTGGCGTTTCTTATTTTTTCGCACAATTTCAGCCTCACGTTTTTCTTATATTTTTCTTATTTTTCTAATCGAATTTCCTGTGCAAAGACTCTGTCCCGGATGTTGTCCTTGTACCCGTATGTTTGCTATTCTTTTATTTTTTAATCGCTATCCTTTTATTTTTAATTTTTTTCTGGCTTTTTAGGTCTTGAGTTTTGTTGAATTTCGGCCTGCCCTTTTTCTCTTATTGTTCTTACTTTTTGGGTAAATATCAGCCTGATGTTTCTTATAAGGGTTGTTCTTTTAAAGAAAGCGTGTATAGATACATAACATAATATTGAATCCTTGGAAGGTACAGTTGATTGGGATCAAATTTTTCACTTTTTTGATAAATACTTTCGCATCTCAGTGCCAATACTTAGGTAAGAAACAGAAACAAAATAATGCTTATATTTCTGTTACAAAACTCTACACAGTCCAAATATTACCTTGAAGCCAACTTCCTTTAGGGCAGACGTCAACTGCAAAGCATAGTTCTTCATCCTCTGATGCTGTCCACGAACTTAAAAAAGCCAAAGGTAAAACCTGAGCCATTAAGGTAGCTTTAGCAGAAACATAAAGATAATGTTATGAAAAACAATCAACTTTAAAGGAGGTAAATTTAAGGATTATGTAATGCTTCAGACTGAATTTAGCTTACAGTATAATTTAAAACAGTGTTTATACTGTTCTCATTCAAGTTTTGAAATAAAAACTTAACCTAATGCAAAATAACGTGATAAAAACAAGAGTGCAGTACCTTTTGACAAGGTCTTTGTTTAAGCTTCTTTGAAAACGCTGAAAGCATTGCACTGGAGTTCGGAAAGTCTGAGAAAAAAGATACTTGAAATTAGAACTGAGATATTACAAAAACAACAAAAAGCTTGAATGAGGTATATTGAGCTTCAAGCAGCACATTATCCGGAGCTTCAAGAGCCTTCGGGTGTTACAAAAAAGTACCATAAGCTTACATAGGACAAAACTCTTGACGTACTGTGTAGGGAATGCTTGAAAGGCTCACGGAATCACAGAGAGCAACCCATAACGACCAAAAAATTAAAAAAGGCGAACAAAATCAATCACGCTTGCAGGACTGATATTTTGAAAATAGTGATTTACGATGTTCAACTTAGGAGAGGCAAATTGATTGTTTGAGAAAATAATATACAACACTTCGGGTTTCCTGCCTCAAAAACATGATATTCATCAACTTCAAAATCAAGTTAATCGAACCCCTAAATCCTGAGCAATCCTCTCCCAATGTCGATTACTGTACTTTCTAGCCAATGAAACAAGTTTTGTATCTTCTTCTTTTGTCCATTTTGATTGATTTATGCACGGGTGTTCGATGTTCAGCCATCTAATACGGCATTCCTTTTCCGTCCTTTGTGGAAGCTACAAAAAAGAAGTTGCTTTAACAACTGCACACCGCATCTGAGAGTGCAAAGTAGATCCTTACTGTAGAGTATAAAACAAAAATAATAGCCTAGAGAAACAATAAACTTGAATTTTAAAGCTTTTTGAACAATGAAATTAAGGCGTCTACTTACATACAACCGAGAAACACTTTCAAAGTCAAGGTCCATTAGACTCTTCCTTAATTCGATCTTGGGGAGAGTTCTAAAAACAAGATTTCAAATTCATAAACAGGCAGGATCTTAAAAAGAAAAGCAAACTATTGAAAATATAAAAAACTATAGATTTACAAACATTGGATAATCTGGTGAAATAACAGGACAAACTCACTGAAGATCTCTCAATTTCTTCTCAACTTCTTCAATTTCCTTCTGGACTTTGTTATCGTTGTTGTTCTTCAATTCCTTCTTTAAATGATTAAGTCTGGTTAAAAAAAATTAAGAACAAAATAGTGTATTGGAATGCAGTAAATATCTATAGGGTACATTTTGTATTGTTGCTTGAACAGACTACTTTATTTTTTCATCAACAGTTTGAAGATACTGTGAAATTTGTTTCGCATACAGGCATCGCTAAATTGCGAAATCAATTACTTGTTTCTTCTGAATATATCTAATTACATTTCTTTTATCGACTGAGTTCACATCCCATTCAATTGACAGTACCGTACTCTGTCCGCACGAACAAACGAACGAACAAGCAAAACAGCAAAATAATTGAAGAATGAATGAAATACATCAATTGTTAACAAGGGAAATATAACAAACAAAAATTTTATTAAATATCACAAACCGTTCTTTCAGAGATAATGTCATCCTTTCAAGGTTCTGATTTTCCACTCCCTCTGCAAGCAGCATTCGTTCCTTTCCTGTCCCTTGAAATCCAAAGAAATATAAAGTCTTTAACAGAACTATTGTATTTTACTACCTAGAATTATATCCTAGATCTTATCACATGAAATGAACATTGCACCAATTCTTCGACTAAGACCGTTTTCGTCTACATAGCTAATCATACGTTCATCATAGCTCACACAGAAAATGTTAACTAAAGTCAATGAACAACTGCTTTCTCAAAAAATGCATTATCCTTGCAAAACAAACTAGAGCACTGGTAAACTAACAATGAAAAATGTTTACCTTTATTAGAAAACAAAAATAAGATGTTCTTACCAGACTTTTAATAAACAGAACGAAAAATTTGAAAAATTACAAAACACAAACTTACAAAGTTTTGTCGTTTGGAAAAATGGATGCACTTTCTTGAGTGCCCTTCTGTCTTTACTGTCTTCATTATCTGGTGGTCCCTGCAAGTTGAGCAAAAAACAAATACAAATTAATATCAACAATATTCAACTTTTTCTTGTACAGAATCGTATTTAAATGATATTAATTTGGCTTTATTATTCCTACAATGTACAACAAGCCAATCTCAATGATTATTTAGCAACAAAAAGTTTGTTAGTATATAAATATAACATGTTCTACGTGCAAACGTATAGAGGATTTTACCATAGAATAATCAACAGACATACTTCTTATGAATATATATTTTCATATAAAAATTTTACAGTATGATTTAAGAATTATGCGTATTAAATAAGACAATATGGACAAATACTTTATTGAAAATACCTCTCCAAAGCGGTCCTTGAAATACGTTGGACGGAATCTTGCAAAGAACGAATAACCAAACATGTGTGGGTTCTGGGATTCTTTACTTCTGCTTTCAACTTCAGCCTTGAAGTACAATAAAGAAACTTTAGTTCAAAACCTTGAATTTTGCCTAAACATCATAATTTCACTTTGCACCAAGAAACTTCAAAGAGGGGTTTTGAAAAAATAAAACGTCTTAAAACTCACAGGAACATTGATACAAAAAAATAATAGATTCACATGACAATGATGTGAAGATATGAAGCATTTCAAAAAGCAATTGAAAATAACAATAAAGCAGCACTTTCATGTCACAATAGGTTAACAACAGGACAAAAGCCGAAAAAGTCAGCCACTTTCTACTGCATAAAATAAAATGGCTTTTTATCCCATCAACAAGAAAATCAAAAAGCTGATCAACAAGTAAAAATGATTTCTCAGACATATCCTATAATTATGGGTAGAAATACCATGATCAGAAAATAAAGATAGGTGAAAAATTGCAATGGTTGTAGCGCAAGCACATACCTGCATGCATCTGTTGTTTCTCAGTGCACAGTTAATTCGAATCAGTTCATCTTTAATAATCTCCTTAAGATCGAGAAAAGAAAAAGTCTTTTGTAAGGTGTTGAAAATCATGCTTCCATATTCAAGTTATTTTTAATATGTATGTTTATATATATCATTAGCAAAGAGGTAAAAAATAGCCAGCTTCAAATTTAAATTTAAATTGGAGACCTTCAGTTGATCAAACTTTTGCCTGAAGCTCTAATTATGATGTGGTTTTTTCTGAGTTAGTTGTTTTCTCAGTCTGAAATGTTTTCTCAGTAAGTTGTTTTTGCAAAATTTGTTTTGTCCAAAAGTTTCATAATTAAATTTATAGTTAACCTGTGCATATACTAGGTATCATAAATAGCTGTCACTGTCAAAAATGCACTTAAAGTTGTTTATCCTAAGTCGTTTTTCCAAACGTCTCAGTCCAAAAGTCCAAAAGTCAATGTCTTCAAATAATATGCATCTTCTCTTCTATAGATGTTTTTAATATCATCTGTACAGTCCATACAGTCCTAGCCACAGATGTTGTGACCAACACATAAATATATGCCAGGAAAAATGTACAGTCTTACAAATACCAACCTTTTCTATATTAAGTTGAAGCATAAGAACTTTGATAGCAGAAATGTCCACTAAAAACTTGGAGAGGGGATGCAGCATCTCAACACTACCATCTCAACACTACGGTCAAGGACTTTATGGAACTTTTGTTCATCATCTAACCTATCCACACAGACAAGGTAGTATTCCATTTGAACAAGATATTCTGTGCTTTTTAAAAGTTTCCATGTATTATTCATTTATCTTTGAATAAAAAATTTAAGGATTTTAAGTCATTTACAGTTTTGATGGTTTCATGCATAATTTAAAGTGAATCACCAAAAAAACATAATGTGTTACCAAGTGCTTAAGATTGCCCTTAAAGTACATACTTGATAGTCTCTGTTCAATTGTAAGGCCCATTCCAAGGAGCCCACTTGGGGATTTACATTTGACACAGGAGCACCTAAAATTTAGATAACTAATTTTTATTCTGAAGCTTTTACCAAAAAAACTATTTTGAGGAAATGATAAAAGATGAAATTAAAACTCAGTCTTTAGACAAGCAAGGCTGTGTCCCTGATAAAGAAATGGCTTGGAAAATCAGAAAAATTTGTTTGCCTTCATCTACCAATATACACTTTCGAAAAGATTGCATTCCTGTACAAAATAAGAGAAGAAATACTGGTTGTACCACAGTACCGTAACAAGCATAGTTCAATGATGAAGCAGTAACAAACTGACAACCAGGCTGCGAATTTAATCAAAATATCTCAGAGCTGACACTTAAGAGCTGACATATATCTAAATACATACCTTCATTGATCACTTCCCTTGAATTGCATTGGATTTTCAGAAAACTGTCGGATGAAGTTTCTGTAAACGACTTTTCGCTTGGGGGTTCAACTATATTCTTTGGAAACAATGATGATGATGATCTTAAAGATGTGAAGGAAGGATGTTCCACTTGCTGTAGGGCAGCCTTTGTTCTCTCAATGATATTAACAGTACAGTGATCCTTGTCTTCATCTTCATTATTGTGTGAACTGTCGTCTGATAAGGTTACATGTGACATCCAAGCAGAGGAGGCCTTTGACTGCTTACACAAAAAACACAATTTGATAATTTGTTAAGATCATTTGTGAATGATATCAATATTATCATTTTTGGTTATTTAATTTTATCGTTAGATAAACTTCTGTTTGTTTATAGAAAACTTCAGTAAGTAAAAAGAAGGTTTGCACACAAACCATGTGCCTGACATGATTGTGCATCTGTGAGATCTAATCAAGAACAGTTATAATCTGTACCTGGTCATTACTTTTGTTTAGACAAACAAGGTTTCCTTCAAATTGAGAGCTCAAATGACCACAACCTGCCTTATTTTAGGCATTTGGATTTCAATCCTACATTTGTATTTTCCATTTCACTTTTCTTAATAAAACTACATAAATTTTTAACTTGCAACATCAAACATATATATAGCAAACATTTTCCAAATGCAGGTAACAATTGTATGAACTAAAGGAGTGAAATTTAATTTTTTTTTAAATAAAATGGAAGCAAATTAAGTTGCTTAGGACAACTAGGAAGAACTTGTTATCACTGCTTCAACCCAGGTGCCTTATATTCTATTATAATTTAAATTGATTCTCATTTTTTCTTAACTATCTTTTAAACAACTTTTTGGTGGTATAAAATCTGAAAATAGCTTTTAGAAAAGCAAACATTTAAAAACACGACTTAGAAAATATTTTCTTTCTTTATTTTTTATACCCTGAAGAGTGACAGACAAAAAGCTTAAGTCATGTTGTAAAATATTTGCTTAAAATATTTGAAAAATCTTTTCAAAGTCATTTTTAAATCATCGTTTACATTATGACAAAAACAGAAGAAAAATGTCAAAATTATCATGACTTTTACAACCCTATGGCACTAATAAAACTTGAGGCAATCGAAGCACATCCTTACATATGAAAATGAATCCACATCCTCTTCGTCCTGGCAATCATCTTCTGCAGAAAAGAGAATAATCGTGATGTAAACATCAAAATATTTTAAGCTATCTTGCAGCAGGATATAGGAAACATGTTTGAAAGAATTACGAATATTAAATATCAGATATTGAATATGGAATATGAATATAGAATATTCATAAAATTGTGGCTTCAAAGCTGCAATTTTTTAAATATAGTTGAAAAAGGGTTCTGCAAGGGTGTCCTCTACGATGTTTTTGAAAATTTGTTTTATATTTTTGCAGACAATTTGCTGCATGTCACTTTCCCAAGTGACTTCATGCTGCAAAACATAGCAGAAATTAGATTACAGTCAACCTGAAAAATCACAAAGAAATGAGTTGATGAGTTACAAAGGTAAACATCGAACTACATTGATGTAGGACACCCACCAGACAAGCTATCGTCATCTTCGGATTCTTCTATACCAAGGTCATTTTGTTCTTTCTTTGAACTGCGATCAGAATAGAGAACATCTTTTATCTGTTTGATTTCATTCAAAAGCGCCTCTTTCTCCACTTCGAGAGTATCTCCATCTTTTCGAAACATTTACACCCCTTCTCCACTTCTATCAAGGGGTCAATTTCCCACAATCGAAGCGATGGGCCTTGGAGGCATGCTTCCTGAACAAATGCGCATGCGTAGACAGCGTTCTTCACACGCTCCTCCCTCAGTTGCGTCTGCGTTGGTGCAATTTTTTATTGACATTTATGTTTATGTCTTTCTTGTTTTCCGTTATCTTCATCAACTATCAAGCTTACTTTAATGTTTTCTTAGTATCTCATTATCACTTTCGCCCATTTCAGATGCTTTTTGCATTGCGTCAGTGTTTTGTATTTGTACTTGTTGCTACCTAGCATCCGAAGGTAGTTTTTAGGACACTGAGAAGCTTATGCTTATCGAGCAGTGTCCTGGTCCTTCCTCTCGATGTGACCACGATGATGATGTGACGATGGTCGAGTGTTGTATTTGCAATTTGCAGTGTTTTATTTTCAGGGGCTTTCAAGCAATTTATCCTTCACTGTTGTACTGTTTTACTCCATGTAGTCTATTGATATTGTACAGATAATCACTTTACACATTTTCTGAGGAATTTTCTGAGTAACATTTTCGACTGTGTTATCTTGGCACTTGGAAATAGCCCATTGCTCACAATAATGGAGGAGTTTACTCTTCAATTTTACATCAAAAAATATACGTCAGTTGACTGTGTGTGTGTGGCAGGGCTCCTTCTTTATTTATATCACTTTCAGCTGTAATATATTTGGCTTTTTATATATTCGAAAAGTTAAAACTTGAAGTAACAAAGTTAACAATTGCCCGTTATATTATGGCCTTGGTTTTCATCTTAAGTTGAAGAAATTTGTCCCTTTATCATTTGGGAAGTTTCGTTAAATCATTGCACCCATTTTTTCAAAAATACTAAACCCTACAGTTAAAACAAATTTAATCAAGTGCGAATACCCTGTTAGGCTTTGTTTCTTGAACGCATAAAGATAAAATCCCAAACGTAAATGATGCACAATAAAAAACCAGTAAGAGAAGTAAAAGAATAAAAAAGACTATTATTCTATTGTTATATTGTATACTATTATAAAAATACGACGAAAATCTCCCATGATGAAAATAACTTAAAACATTCATTGAACTTCAAATCAACTACTAAATAAAATATACATTAATAAAATAATATCTTAGCAGTATAAGATATAATATAATTGAGTGACCGAAAAAATTTAACGAGACAAAATACAGTAAACCTATGTTGCCTTACAGTAGAAAACATTGGTATTATGTCAAACCGAACTTCAGATATGTGAAAACATTAATAATTTCTGTGTTTAGTTGCTACATCAAAGATTTCAGAAAATTAAATACTTTTTCTGATTACCGACAATCTATTATTGGAGAAAACTAAAGAAAAAGCGAAAATTTCTGATCAGGGGCAAACAAGTTCATTTTGATTAATAGTGATATGCTTGTTGGCTATTAAAACTGAATCTGTCGAAGTCATGCCAATTAAAATCTTCTGCGCAACTGGCAAGCTTTGCTATTATAATTTCAAAACCGGCCTAATATCGTGCCAAAGATATTCCAGTATCTTTGGTCGTACTGCATGAAAATACAATTTCTTGACGCGTAAAAAGTCAGCTACCGCTAAGCAGGAGCCTTTAAAGGCTATCAATCTCTTTGGGTTAGTTTTTGATACAAGGAATCATATATCTAAGTAGCAAAGTAAAAATAAGCTAATAAAAATTGTCATGGTTGCAATAAAAACGAATGATGTGGATAAAAGATTGCATATACGTTCTAAGTTACATTTTGATGAGATTTATAAACATACAGGCATCTACATAAATTTGGAACAAATTCTGCTTAGGTAGAGCTTTGAATAACTGAGAAGTTTTAAATTGAGAATCTACAATCAACACAAATATCGCAAACAAATTGAAGGCTTATGCCTTTTGACCAGATCTAGTTTGAAAACGAATTCAGATAACAAGAAAATACAAGGATGAAATATATTAAAACAACAGTGAAAACCGGGCAATTGAATATTTCAAAATTTCTTCACTGTAGCTTTGTGTATATAGTTATAAAGATGTTCAGCTTCGCGCAATTTCAACAAAAAAATTTCGACAGCAACGTCGGTAGTTAGACTGTTAGCATGCATTTAGGGATTAGAAAAACTGCGTACAAAATATATAATGATAAGTTGGATAGCTCTTCGCATCGGCATTACAAATATATCACGTGAATACCCTCCAATTTTGAAAGGCTAGGTTACATTACTATAACAATCGATCAAACTTGGAAGTATAAGTTTTCAAAATCGGTGATAATACAGCGTACGTTAATGCAAATGCCACTATAATACAAAGTAAACAAAGGATAATTCGAATGTTTCTTTCCAAAGTAACTATCCTTGAATGCGAATCGTTAACCTGGGAGGAAGAAAAATAAGAGCAGTGAGGATGAAGCAACATTGAGCCAAGATCAAGCAAGTACGTAAAGATAAAATTGCTTAAATGTAAGTTAAAAGCAATGAGCAGGTACAACGGCAAAGATTCGGATACAAAGCGAAGTGATTTTCTAATGCGTATTATGCATCAAAAACAAAGATCCACGAACAATCAGGGGGGGGGGGGGCAAGCCTCAGTAAATAGGCATTAGAAAAAAATTCCAAGTTTCTACTAATTCTTACGTAACTGTCTTTTTATTTCGATGTTCAATAGTTATCTTGCAAACTGGCTAACTGCTGTCAAATGCTATATGTCTAATTAGAAATTGCTAACATCACTGTTGCAGTGCCGTCGGAACAAAATTCATATTGGGGGGCGGGCTGCCCATTGTATTCCTTCTTATTCAGTACACTGCTATAAAGGAAACATATTACAGTTTGACAATTATTGCTCCAGCACCCCCCCCCCTCCACCCCCGGTTCCGACGGGCCTGACTGTTGAACGTATGCAATATATAACCCTAAAATTTTCTGCTGAACAGTTGGCTTGGTACCATAAAAAATTTCTCACTATAATGTCGCAAGGGTCATGCAATTGACAGACTTTCAACAACGTTGATTATATCCTTAAAGAAAAAAATAGCAAATACCAATATCGACACGGTGTAAAGGGAAGTTAGTATAAATAGAGTGTCTCTACCTTTGCCTGTAAATCTTCTATGATTTTTTCTTCTAGAATTTTTCTCAGACTTTCAAGTGGATCAATTTTTGCATCATGTTTTGGTGATTTTGGTCCTGAATCGTGAGTGTCAGTGTATGGTGCCGGCATGGAGGTGACCTCGAACCTGCATCGCAATCTGCGTAAAAATGGCTTTAAATCAGACTATGACGTCATTCATTTCGTCATCGAACACAAGTAAATTTGAAGCCCGGTACGCTGGGGCGAAATATTAGTTTCAATTAACTTTCTTGTGTCCATTGTTATTTGTTTTCGGCGCGTATCTTCTACATTTTTATCGACTAATTGCCGATAACCTGTTGAGGTCCAAAAACGTAAAAGCCTTATCTCTTTAATAACTTGTTGATGTCCTAGCAACTTAGCTGCGATTTGTACAGTACTTGGAAAAAATATCTACAGTACCTGTGTTCTAAAACACTTGATTTTGGTATTTGTTTCCAAATTGCGCCAATATCTGCTGACTTTTCTTTCTCGGGCACAAGTGCCGATAAAATGAGGAACTTATCACGATTAACATTTTCAGTGTGGCCTGAAAGTAGACGAGAAAAAAGTTCATTTATTAGATTATGAAAATTTACTCAAACAACAAGCAGAGATATGCATTTTTATCATATTTTACCTTACACAGACATTTCTTTCTAATACAAACCAAGAAAAAAGCTAAGAATGAGAATGCTCAGCCACGTTTGTTTATCTTACCATTTATAACGTTGAATAGGTCAAGTGAGAGAGATTATGTCTCACAAGTCGAAATCAATTGCTTTAATGTAGCAGATTCAAAGACACTAAAATGAAAAGATGACTTTGACTGTCCAAAAATTTACGTCATCATAAGTTTAGAGGCACACTCTCGAGCAAAGGCTGACACAGGACATAATCAAATTTAATTTGGTTACTCTGGCCATATATACCCCCCCCCCGCCCCACCCCAAAAGAAAGGGTAGATCTAAAACGAAATTGAAAAGCCTCGTTTCTGACTCATGCAAATGCGAGATGTCTCAACCTTGCTATTTTGTTGATTTAGTGAATTCTCGCCCAAATTTGGTCAAAATTGTTGAGAACGTCCCACCATAACTCAAAAAAATTCATATGTGCCCGTTGGCATCTCAGATGCTCACGAACGTACCTGGTTGCAAATAAATGTTGATTTCCACACTATTTTCAGGTGGCACTAGACCAGAGCTTGGGCGCACTCTGTAGTTTTCTGGGGATGTCGTCTTAACCTTGGGGAAAAGTAGAATTTTTTTTAAATTATACTGGACGATCGCATAGATTATACCAAAGACTGTTCTGCTTCATTTACTTGCAAATTAGATTTGATTATTTAAAATCTTAATTTTCAAATAAAACAACATATTTCACAAGATTTAATAACAATAAGAAGCTAAGGTGAAAATCAATGCCACTTAATGTAACATACAAATTCTTGTGAAAAGAAATTGTTAATGAGCATGTGCTTATGGCCCTGTTTAGCTTCGGTTAAATTCATCCACTACATCTTTTACTTGGCTTATATACAAAAAATCTACCAAAGGTTCGAAACAAAATGTTAATCAGTGTGAAAGGCAGGGGTATAGCAATAACAGATCATTTAATGTTGACGGGTTGTGCCGTAACATACCTTATACGCAACATTTGTTGAAATGGTATTGGTGATGGTAAGTATGCTCAGTAGCTCTCCGGAAGTACTAGCTGCTCCACAAAATACAATTTCATCAGCAGGGCTGTGTATAGGCAGAAACTTTTTCATTATGAAGAATAATAAAGAATTTAAGAGCTGCTAGAAGTAGGCTTTAGATGAGGAGAAAGCCAATATGAATACATAAAAAAATATTGAGCGTGAAAATGAAAGGTGCATCAAATGAATAGCAGTTTCAGTTTGATTTAAATCCATAAAAATTGCATTAAATCGAGTTAAACGTATTTGGAGATTTAAGATGGGGATACAGCTCTATCTTTAGATACACCCTGCTTGATATTTCTCGCATGATCATCGAAAACGAGTGAAAATAGAAGTGCAAAGCCACATTGTTGTTGCTTGCACATGCCCATCAATGATAGAGTTGCATAAATGATGTTTTCTCTAGCCTAGACACATTCGTTAATTAACCAATTTGATTACGTTAAGCATAAATTTCAAGCATTTGCATTTCTTTTCAGTAACTGACGCGGCAGGAGATTCAGCTGAGTATTTGATCAGGGTATGTCCCTTATACATTCATGTAAGTTTGGCAAATAACTATGAATGTAAATAAATTGTACCAGGAATGTATAAGAGGTTATTGAATAACGACGTTTCGAGCATAGCCCGTTGTCAAGACACTTCACGTATACTTGATAACGGGCTGTGCTCGAAACGTCGTTATTCAATAATCTCATATCTATTCCTGGTACAATTTTTTACATTCCTAGTTACTTTCTGTTAAATTGTACCGTACGCAATCTAGTATATTTATGCAAGTCTCGTAAAGTTGCAAAGATAGGAGATGCTTTCAATGGACTTTCCATTAGGGGATTTTAAATCTCATTAATTTATCATTGAACCTATTACTTTCCTTCCAGGTCAAACAAAAATCCAATGAAACATCTAATGAGGAAAATCTAGAGCTACTGAAGCTATCGAAAAAGTGGAAAGAGAAGTAAGGTCTCTACCCTGCAAATTCTGGTCAATCATTAGCATATGTCAATCAAAAATCATGCAAAAGCAGCCACTTACCATATGGTAATCAATGGGCCTATGAACTCAAAACGGCTTTTCTTTTTAGAAGTTTCGTCTCTCTAGAAAAGTGTTTTTGTAACAGGATGAGAGTCAAAACATTTAGCAACTAGGTTTCAGATAAGACCAATGATGTATATTTTGCTAAATGAATTTGAAAGCCAACACGAAAGGTTCCAAAACCTAGGGCACTGTTCGTAGAAAGAAAGATTTTTCAAAAGAAATGTATACTCATGTAGGTTCACGGCAACAGTAATTCGATTTTTGACTGAGTGAAAAACTTTGATTTTATTAGCGGGCTGGTGATAATGACAAAGATTATTGGCAGATCCAAATTAAATAGGCTACTATACTTAGAGAAGAAATCCAGACCCTGAACATGGAGCATTTGGTAAGATATTTAATTATAGCCTTTATGTTTAACAGATTTAAACTTACCCTTCTATTATGCTTCTGTTGTGTTGATTTAGTTATGTCTTCATTTTTGCCCTGAAAAAACACCGACATAAAAATAAAAATCCAGTCTTGGGTTCAAATATAAAGCAAATACGAGATTTTGCGATATTCGAGGTAGCTACAACATGCATAGAAAGTGCTACGTAACAGACACATCACGATAGTCTATAGCTACATGTTTCAATAAAGACGATTTCTACAAACCTTTATTGAAATGTTTATAAAGATTAGCGATCTGCTGATCTGTGATAGAGTGATCGATGCCATATAAGCAGAGCTGTACATGTTTTAGGTTAAAGAACAGGATGGATCTACATTGCAAATCATCAAGCAACTGTTCTTTTGACACGTTTACACGGTGTTTGAAGCTAGCCTGGATACATCTCGGTTATCAACATGAATACACTTTCAAACATAAAAACGTTATCTTAAAGACATATAACTTAGATCAAACTCGATTTTTCTGAGCTGAATAGCTACTGAAGTTAATCTTAAACCTCAGAGGCTTACCCGGTATCTCATGCTGTCTGACAATAGAAGTTCTGATGAGGAATCGTCACCAGTTTTTGTCAGCAACTCAAACGCATCTGATGAATTCACTGGTTTACCATGTATGTCTGTGCTCATTGACACTGATATGCTGCTGAATTCCAAATCTTGATTGTTTTCAATCGGGGCATTGCTGCTATAAATAGTTTGAACAAAGAATTAACACAGACATGAATCTTCTGGAAGGAAGCCCTGAATGTTGTGTGGAGCTGTCTCAAATAACTATTTTACCAAAAAACAATTCAAAACAAGGCTTTTGCCTTTGGAGATGCTGATTGTGAATTTCTATTAAAACAGTGATACAATCTCCTTTTCATCAGAAGCCTCTTTTTACATTTATAAATTACATGATTCTGAGGTGATGACAAGAGATAATGTCATGGTGAACTCAAGTTTTCCCTTGTGCTAAATGCTAAATTCTTTACATAACTATGCGCATATAACTAACCTTGGCTTGCTTTTTGTATCTTTCTTTCCATTTGCCAATTGAGGTGGATACTGGTATTTAAAGTCGTCCTAAAAGAAATATCAAATATACACTTGATCTCAGTTTAATATTCTTACACTTGTGCAAAAAGCTACAAACTCTCACAACCAAATTTTCGATCCGATTGATTGATGGGTGCACGATTAAAAACGATACCTAAATCTTTTGTATATTTACAGATTTCCCCATATATAGGTTCCCTTGAACTGTTTTAAGTATCTTTATACAGCTGCCCTAAACGAATTTTGCTTGCATTTTCAATTATTTCCGTACTAAACAAGTCTACAGATATTACGTTGTAGTAATTTCCGCTAATTATTGAGTGACACAAGCATAATTTTAGTAAAGTGTTCTTTACCAAAATCCTTTTATTGCTAACTATAAGTGATTCTTTTGGCAAGCTTTCTTTGACCAATAAGATTCTCTTTACGATTTGCGGTAAAAGTCATATGACAAAACATTGAACTTACCCAGAGCTCACAAGGGTTGTTTTTTAAGTCTAGGGTTCCTTTATTCTTGTGATATCAAATATTTTGTTACTTATTTTGAATTCTTCTGTATTGACGTCGTAATAGTGAATTAGTTCTTGGATTGACTTTACTTCTGTTGTCAAGCATTGAATTCAGTGGAATTTTTAAACATGAAACTCCGTAAGGTAGGCCGAAACAACGTGTTGAACAAGCCTTTTGCAAGCGAATATTGATTTATCAATACACAATCTGTGTCTGACGCATCAAGAAGGAAAGATGGTTTCTCACTCTTTATATATTAGGGGCATTTGGGTCTTTATATTTTTTACTCTGAGGAAAAAACATGCTTTCGTATTATGGACTAAGCCTCCAAATTTTCATGCTACTCTGAAATTAACTCTGCGTGCACACATCTTTTACGCCGTGTGTTGTAATTTTTTCTTTAGATGGTGGCCCCTGAGTGTAGTATACAGCCGAGTTACAACTGGCAAATCATAATGAAAGTAACGAAAAATGACTAAAGATTTTCAATTGAAAAGAAAACAATTTCACGAAGTGTCAGAAACGCTGAAACATCACGAACATATTTGGTGCCCGCGAAAGAGCGTATTAAGCCTGCTTTATATTCACATGCCACAATAAGATCTGGCTGCAAATTTAGAATAGAGGTGACAAAATTCCTTACAGTTCCACCCATCCCTATTAACAGCTGGTCTGCATCCACGTATTGTGCAACTATTTCTGTTTTGTTTACAAATCTGAAACGAAAAACGAAATAATAAAACCAAATATTACATGACAAAGTTAGCAAGAGAGTCTAGTTTTGGGGGCTGGAATGACTTCTGTATACAAGGGGTATAGATAGGCCGGTCCTTGTCATCCCAAAACGTAGATTCTGCGAGCAATCTTTATAACACAAAACACGTCTTGATACGTTTTCACGAATCTTCGTAGACTATAAAACTTTCAGAAATTTAGAAACATTCATTAACGTATTAACATATCACAATTTGGATGTTGTGGTTACTAGAAGAACTAGGAAACGGTTAAAATCAGTCTTAAAAGCCATTAGAGACGGCTGAGTTCTGCTATTTAGAAACAGAATTTATCACCAAGTGCTTCTGGCCTTTCACAGTAAAGTTTTTCCAATGGTAAACAGCCTGATGACAACAAACAATTATTCACGTCCTAGAATGTCTTTCTGTTCCCTCATTCAGGCTACCCTCAGACACGAACTAATTATTACCATTATTTTTGTACAATTCTTGATATTCAAGTTAAAATCTCAAAAAGAAGAACAATAAGATTTTATCTCGTATCAGGGCTATTGATATTGAAGCAATATGGTTCATTTTAACTTTGCTCGCCACCAACCCAATCTCATCACGTGAAAATCGCCAATACCAACACAATGTTGCGCAAATTGTTGCATTCTGCAAACCAACCGATGCCTCGGCCTTTTTCTTAGCAAATGATTCATGGTTACGATTGTAACAACTCATCAGATTTTGAAATATGCAATAAAGCGTGATTCAATTCACATAAACCTATTCCTGTGACTGCCAAATTCTCATCTATTGGCAGATTCCATTAGATTTTCAGAAATCCTTTGCAAGTAAATAACAAACCATAATATTGCTAGCATTGCCTACGTGAAGTACAGGAGAATAATTTCATCTATGCGTTTTTGTCGCAATTTACTTTCTGTTCTAAAAATACTACGAGCAACACTCCCATTTTAACGCACCGCATGAAATTACGGCAAAAATTTGGGGGAAAGTGCTGCATAAATATCATTTGAAAGCAAAAGAGCTTCTGAATGGCGTCTCCTCCAAATGAAAACAACAAAGAATTCTTTGAAACTTACTTTATTTTTGAAATCCCTTCAGTGCTCAACCATGTCTTCACGATTTTCCAAGCAGCTAAAAATCGGTATGTTCGAAATGAAAGCCAATATTATAACGTTAAATATGACATATGTGAGGTGTTATAGAATCTTTTATGAGCTATTAAAAAAGAACACTTTCTGAGAACTATATGACTTGCCAGACATTCTCAAGACAATAAGGTGTTTCAACAAAGAGAGCCAACAGGTCCCAGTTGCCAAGGAAAGACAAATTACGGGTAGAAGAGAAATTTTAAACAACATTGTTTGTCTTAATTTCAAAAGACAATAGAAAATCCACCAGTTTGGTAGGTGCCAAATTCCCTTTACAATAGTTCAATTTAGCTTCTTTTTTGAATGAGCCTCCAACGTTGAATAACTGCCTAGGGTATCTTGTAATTATAACCTTTCAACTGTCGACTTAATCCTTGCTCTTGTTAATAATAGAATAATAAAAAGACTTACAGACAATTGACAATAAAACGGGTGCTTTCAAGATAAAAACTTGTAGCAAAGTGGTCTGACTGTTCATTTAAGTCAGCTTCTTTTCAAACAAGCGATGTCATGCTATACAGCGGAGAAATTTCTAACATGCTTACAGCTTTCTAGTATCAGGCATTCTGAATACTGGCACATTTTGTTTTTAATTCAATGTGTTACTTCCTAGCCCCCAAAGGTAGGTTATAGGACACTAAAAAGCAGTGTCCTGGTCCTTCCTCTCAATGTGACATTTCTCGTGATACCTAAACCATGAAATACAGCTAGTGACTCCCTTCACTTTTAGAGAACCTAAGTCATAACTCTTGGAACCGTAGAGACCCTTGGATCTATAGTCCGCGATGCAATCTACTGAGTCTACCTAATACCTCACACCAATCAGCTTTTAGCATGCAATGAAAGTTTTCTGATGATGATAGCATAGATAAATATAAGGAAAAACTAAAAAGTAATTCTGATGTGCAAAATGATCTGAAAGGTATGCCAGAATAAATCAATTGGGACAAGACGTCAAAACTAAGAAAAGTTCACATTCCTGTTACGATAAAAGAAATTTATGAAACAAGCAAATGTGTTTGTCTGCAGATTGGTATCTCATTACATAAAATTGTGGAACTAACCATATGAAAGATCACAATAAATAACGGGCTACAATTTTAAAATAAACAGCATCCGAATATATTACAGGAAGCTGACTTTTGTCTTGCATATTTATTTGAATAAAAAGCAAATGCTTGTATGTTCAAAGTGACGGCATCTTTCAACATGCACATGGTACCTTAATAATTTCTTTAAAACCGACGGGGCTCTTCTGAAATATCTATTGCTCTGTTTACATGTATGCATGAAGGCATGATACAAACAAATTTTGCATTAATTATGAAAGCTATTAAAATCTTTTTTAACATTGCATCAAGGATTCTTTTACGTTCGCTGAGTTCATGCAAAACTTGAACATCAAAAACGAAACATCTTTCATGTGTTCTTTCGACATTAGTAGTCTTTTCACAAATGTCCCTTTGAGTGAGACCATCAAAATATGTGCCGACGCTTTGTACCGGAGCGAGCTTAATAGCCCACCATTCCCAGAGGAAGTATTCATTGAACTGATGGAACTGCAACACGTTCAGTTGAATTCAGTTTTAACAATGAAATGTACCAACAAAAGGATGGTGTCGCTATGGGTAGCCCTCTGGGACCTGCTTTGGCCAATATCTTAGTTGGCTTTCACGAAGAGCGTTTGTTCGACTACGACCAAAAGCCAGGTGTCTATTTTCGGTATGTGGATGACACATATACCATTTTCAAAACAGAGGCTGAGTGTGATATCTTTCTAAAGCACCTTAATAGCCTACATTCAACCCTCCAGTTCACGTTTGAAAAGGAAAAAAATGATTCCTTGCCATTTTTAGATGTTTTGGTCGAAAAGTCTAACACTGGATTTCTTACCAGTGTATATCGCAAGCCCACTTTTACCGGTCAGTACATACGCTGGAATTCATTTTGCCCAAAAAACGCAAAGTCAAAGGGCACTTATGATCTGTTCGAAATCTAAACTACACGCTGAACTGGAAAAACTTAAAACGATCTTTCTGGACAACGGCTATCCATAAGACGTCATTTTACCTTATACTAAGGAGAAGCTAGCAAGTTTTTCGGCTGCTCAAAAGTTTGGTCCGCAAAAGTAACCAGTTTTTTTGAAACTACTATGGGTTGGTAACACTTCCTTGCGATTCGAGAGTCAGATTAGACAAGCCCTAACAAAATCTTTTTTTGCTGTCAATCCTCGTATTGTTTACAGCACTAGGAAAGCCCTTCCATCCATTCAAAAGGATTGCGTTCCTACCAACCAAAAAAGTTCCGTTATTTTGTTTTGCACAAAATGAAATTTTTGTGCAAGTATACATACCTGACAATATCCAAGGCATTTCCAAAACGATTAAATATTCTAAAGAAAACGAGACAGAAATAAGTCAAGATTTAACAGCAGTTATTAGGCCACAGAATATATAAAAATATTTCACAACTGAAAAACATCTCTCCATCATCAAAAGTCGTAATTTGAGAGCAATTAACGCAAGCTTTGGCTAAATTCTAAATTTATTTTCAATAGCGAATGGTCAGAAACACAAAAACCCTTTCTTTCAAAATTCGCTCAAAATTAAAAACCAAAATTACACAAAGAGATGAACCAAGGAGCTTGAGCTTTTACCTCACTAGGAGATATTTTAGCTGTAATTATCACTATTATCGCAAGTAAAGCCATTTGTACTTCTAGCTAAAGGTTGCCTTGTGCATTAACATGCAGTTTTAAATGGCTTCTTAATCAAATAATTGCTACAACATACCCAGCATACATGGATAATACACTTGGAAATTTGTAATCAAGAATTTAATCAAGTCCATGTCCTAAAACAAATTAGACAAAAATTCAGTTTCATCAGCTTATATAGATAGCAAAGAAAAGACTACAAATGACACTGACTTTATCATTCAACCTAAGATTTTGATGAGTAATGTGACTAAGTCTGTCGTGAAGACCAGAAGAGAATCTGATGGTACCCATATGAGGTTTAGCAGCACTTGTGCTTTGTAACTCTGACCTATCTAGCAGGAAGTACTTCATTTATTGCATCTCTTATCTAAATACATGGGTGGAGCATATCTTATACAAATACAGTGAAAATTGACACTAATCTTAATACTGAAGCAAGTTTATTATAGAATTATAATTCTGACAGATACTAGCAAATGGCAAGCAATACCTTCATTGACTGACTGACTAATTGATTGAATGATTGCATAAATTCTTCATATATTCATCACATATTCATATATTTCATATATTCATCATATATCAATAAATACTAATTGATTGAATGATTGCATACATTATTCATATATTCATCATATATTCATATATTCCATATGTTCATCATATATTAATAAATTTCATATATTAATCACAATTTATTTCATTCATATATATTCATAATATGCATTACTAACTTCTCACATATATTATTTTATTTATATATAGTATATATAAAGTGTATTATATCATTTGCATTTACACAATATATATCCATCATTTCATATTTATTGCATATGTTCATTAATTTCATATAATCATCATACCATGTTTGCCAAACTTGAATCCTGCATATCAAAGATTAAAGTCACCTTTCCACCAGGATGTTCTCTAGACTAAAAGTAATGGCAAATAGCAGTGATGTTATTCATGAGGTTTCATTGGCAAGGTATTTGTCCTGTGCGGTAGATGAGAAAAGATTATTGGCTCTTATCTGTAGTGTACTTAACTTCTAGGGAGTAGTATGAAGGGGACACACAGCACCTATTCAGGGGAAATTTTGCAAAACTTTGCCCTGTGTACTCAAGGAAAAGGGTGCAGCCTTCTTACACATATATTTGAATCAAACATCTTCTTGGTAAAATTGCAAAAAATTATGGTTTAATGTTGCCAAGCTGACATTGTATCAGCCTACCCCAACCCTCAATAATTTCTTTGCACTTTTACCACGAATCCCCAGACCCATGCTTTCACAAAGTAAGAGGCCAGCATTCCCCGCTCTTTGGCAAATGCAAGTGCTTCTTAGGTACAGTTCAAACATACAAACACAATCGATTTGAGAGGATATATAGGGATGAAAAATCAGGAAAGGACACAAACCAGTGTTTGGCATAATTTTAGAATAAAGTAAATTTTGTGTACTACAGAAATACATGTTTGGATAAAAGAGCCAAAAGAAAGCATTTACCTTGGCACAAGATAACAGCAAAAAGGTGAATGAAAATCTATGTGCAGGTCAAAAAAGGGAATTGACATAAAAGATATAAAAATAATCAATGCAAATTGAAAAAGCATCCAGAAAAAACTTTTAACATAATTATGCATGGTACATTTACAAAATTCTTGAAGCTCACCAGTTTCTCGAGGCCAAAGGCTACAAGCTTTTTAACTTCCTTTGGGTTGTGGGCATCTTTACGATAAAGTCTTGTATGAAAAAGAACTGGAAGGCAATAATAATTTCATCAACTTCCAACATTCATTAATTTGGGAGCCAAGATTCATTATTTTGATTTTATTATCAAATTTAAAAATCAAAGTAAATTATAAACTTTAAAACATAAGAGCTTCTTGCACATAACTAAACAAAATATCTTTCAATTTAATAGATTGTACCTACCAAGTGGGTGTCCATTTTTGTCAAAATTGTGGACATACAAAAAACCAATCTCGAACAATCTTCTATCAATATTTCTTTCCAGCAAGTCTACAAGAATATTGATATGTTAAAACAATGAAGCAGGCATAGGTCTATAGAAATGCATTGTCCTTCAAAAAGAAACAAAAACAAAAGGGCTAGATTAATAGCACATTCATATGTTTAGCTGTGCACATGAAAAATACCTCAACTGTCAAGAAATTTATCAAATATTATAATCTTTCAAAGTGAGTCAAAATATATACATATGTTAACTTACCATTTATTCCAAAGGATTCCCTCCATCGAAGACAATCAACCTAAACATAAAAATTAAAAAATGCTGTAATTATTAAGGTACCTGATTTTGAACCATTACATGAACATAAACAACTATATAATTTAGAGTAAATTACCAAATGGTAGGAGGCATATGGTAATCAAAAGAGCAATTATCAAAAAGAAACATGGGAGCAAGGAATACTAGCAATAAGACATCTAGGTTATGGGGGAGGCTGAGCATTGTTCTTCTATAATCTCTTCTTATTGTACCACACGCCAAAAAGTCACTCCCACCCCAACATACAATCAAATATGCAACTAACCATTTTCATTGAATCTATGTGGCTTAACCCAAGCTATATAACAGGTCATGATATCTCAGCAAGGTATCCTTTTGGACGCCAAAATTACCTTGTTTTGTAAACTGTAAATGAAGCTTTTACTTACAATCATGTCAATGGCTTTGTCAACATCCTTTTGCTTGTGCTTAATAAACAGCCACACATACAAATCATCATTATTTATTCGCTCAATATCTCTTTCATCAAACTGATTGAGAAGTGTCCCTTGAAAAAGTAGTATGTATTTTTAGAAATAGATAATAGATGGTTGTATAACAGTGTAAGATCTGGTATTTTGGTTTTTGCTGGTTAGTATTCTAATGGTTAGATAGATTTTTCTTGATGGTTCACTGTCTCTTAAAGGCTAAAGGAAAAGTACAAACTGCATAGAGAGACATGTATTTGGAAAGCCTGTCTTTATCTATTTGCCAGTCACACGGCAAATGATCATAGCATGATTTATATAATTTCTTGGTTAGGATAAAAGTATTACTTCTCTTCAAACCAAGAAATTCAGTCATCCAGAAACTGAGATTTTTCTGGCATGTCTACTAGCTTTATGCCATAAATAGCAATAAAAAATAATTCAAATAAGACAAGAAGTTTAATTGAATGCAACAAAGAGTCTGTGAAAGAGCGTTACTTCTCTTGGCAAAGCCACATGAATGGCAGGTCATAAAAGACTTATACAAAGAAATTTCAGAAAAGAAGAGTTTGCTTGTCATCAAAAAGCTATAGGATTGATGTAGGACAGGAAAATTAAAGATGCACAACAAACAATTGATTCTTTTCAACCCTCCATCTCATTATAAGATAGAAAAACTTCTTAACTCGATTTTTTAATACAGAACCCAAAATAAACCTAAAAGATAATTGAAAAGCAAACCTTTATCAAAAAATTTCCTTTTAACTTCTTCAATCAACCTCTGGGCCTCTTCTGTCTAGAAATTGTTAAAAATAAGAAATTAACAGATGAATAGTTTATGGAAAACTTTCAGTCCTTCTTTCTACCTACAATTTGACTACAAATTCAAAGTTATACATATCTAGATCATGTTTGCAAATAACAGTAATGAATATGAAACAAATTTATTTTCTTGCAAATAGCTCTGGACTTTGAGCTACACATTCTAATGGGACAGGATCCCTAATTAACACTGTTAACCTTAATCAATCAAATCAGGGTTGCCAGTTTGTCATTCTGGCAACCCTGATTTGATTGAAACATAAATTTTCTTAAGAGTGAAACATTCAATCATGTTCTTCAATCATTCATTAAATTCACCCTGTCATGCCACTGCCAAGGGATGATCACCAAAAATGCTTCCATGATTACTGATCATGGGCATTTTACATCAAGCTTCTTCCTGCTTTTTCAACTATTTTACCTCTCCACCTATTCTGTCTTTCTTTTACTCTTTTGCCCTCTCTTTGGGTCAATTCAGTTGTCTTTCTACCTCACTTATAATATATTCTTGCAATATATCCTGCTCATTGACCTATTGCTTTTTCTGCCTTTCTAGTAGCATTATTGACTTTTGTCCTTTCCCTGGTTCTTTGTTCTTGATCTTGTCTTTCCAAAGCACCTTCCAGCTACAGCCTTCCAATTGTCTTTCTGGTTTTTTATGAAAGACTTGTACATCATGATTTGAAAAATGATGATGTTCATTATTATCTTCTTGAAACACAGAAGTATCTTTGGTTCTTTTTCAGAAACTTCCTAAACATTCTAAATCATTCCCATCCTGCTGATACATTCTGATTTATCTATTTTGACATATAATTTCCAAATGTTAATGCTCTTCCAAAATATACAAATTCTTAAACTTCTTCATAATTTCATGATCTACAGATAAACATTTCTTTGTTTTCTTTGTTGGTTCATCTTTATTTTGTCTTTCTTTTCTCCTGAATACAAAGCATTTCGCATTTTTCCAGCTATTATTTGCTTTTGCAAACAGGAGAAAGCCATCTGCTCTTATTAACTTTTAAGTCCTTACATCACTTTCCTTGGAAATGAAACTGAGTGCAAATCTGAATGAATGCATCAAGCATTTGAGAATCATGATGATTTTACATTTTCTGGTTTTCACATCTGTGGCAATTGAGAAACTATTTTAACTTCAATATTGCTGACTGGTGATCTTACTTGATGGAAGGCTCCTGCAACCTTTAAAGATGGTAGCTGATTTTAGCAGGCGTTTTTCAACTTGATTCAGAAGACTCTAGAAGCATATCAGTTTTTCTTTGTTGAAAATCAGTCTATCTTGCAAGAATTGTGATGCCATTTCCTCTGGATTGGCATCCTTGGCTTGAAAAAGGAGTTCACTTACATCAACTCATGAAAGAAAAGCAAGTTTACTGGATCAGACAGCATATCCAATATTTCTCTTGTTTTGTTGTGGCACCAAGCACCTGTGGTTGCTTATACTGAGAGAGATATTCCATACAATATGAGAAGTGAATTAATCATTTGTGGTTGCCAAAAGTGAAGACAACATCATACGGGATAGAGAATATTTAGCACAGAGGTCACCATTTGTGGTCCAAAGGAAAATTAAAGATTCCAACACACTAGTTGAGTTCAAACGAAAATAAAATTATGACATGGAAGTACTTGCATCTGCAGATTGTGCAAAATTTTCATTAAAGATCTAGGGTTTTTGTAGGTTTTGTGTGGACATCGTAAAGTAGGTTTAAATTATTTTGTTGGCATTAGTTAGCTAATTAGCTATTTCTTTTTGTTCTTTCTTGCCAACGAAAAATAAATTGTTAATAATAGAACTTCTGCCTTGAACCAGCCATCTTGTGGAAACTGTCTTCTAGAATTGAAGAGGAGTTCCTTTTTGCGATCATTCTTAGGGTTAATCATCTTGAGCAAGTCTTTACATGCCTACATGCCTTGTTGACAAAAGCATGGCCAATATATCATCAAAATTAGGCCCATAACATATGTCAAGAATTTGTATGGATTGCTAGGCCTTAAATTTTTCTTGCAAGTCTGTCTATCACACAATGGAAACACGCTCTATATATCATATTTCAGTAAAAAGAGGAAAATTATTGCCCTCCCCGTGGCCAAATGCAAATACAATAATCAATTATTTCTGCTGTCTTGTGCATTTGGCCCGTCAGAGAGGGAAATCATTCATTTGAAATTAACGATCAAAACATAGCGTAAACATTACAGATCCTAAAATTTCACGACAACATACATTAATATTATGGCTGATAAATTAATGCTGGTAACGGCTCACAAACGATTTTCAATCAAATCACAAATTTGCGAGTGGTGGTACGCCCTCCCCAGGTTATTTCTCTGAAAACTAATAAGAAGAATTCTCGATTATGATTCATATTTAGCCTGAGTCCAAAACTAACATGATGTAATAGAACTGAATGTTATAAATAGATATAAACCTGATATTCCATTGCATCTGGTAACGCTTTAGATTTCATTTCACGACATTTTCCTGACGATTCACAACATTTCCACAATCACAGGATACATTGTAATATCAATTCGTTGGTTCCCTGTGCCTATACTTAGACTTCGGTATTGACGTAATCAAGGCTGCTCACGTGGATCAGGAATCGAATTGCATTATTTGGCGTTGCTCTATCACGTTCTTATTCTTATGTTTGTTAATTTTTGCAATTAGTCACTGCTACAAAGAATATGAAAAAATAATCTACTTTCTTAAAATATTTATATACAGGGGCAAGGCAGTGCCATTAAAATAACAAGGGGTCACTTGCACAAAATGATGCAAAAAGCAATAGCAAAAGTAGAAAATTGTCAATTTTTGGCATCAACAAGGGGGGCTCAGCCCCCCTGTGAGCCCCCTAGCACTACACTCCTGGGTTTAGGTCTATCCGATAATAAAGGGATTAGAATTTTCCTTGTGATCTGATACTTTTGGGTACCTGATTTAACAATATATCTTTTGATACTTATGGGTCAAAAATGGACCCAAAATATGGATCAAAAACAGGAAAAAAAGAAAAAAAGAAAAGAACGTGCTATTCTGGGAAACAATTTATATTACAGAGGGTCTCCTGGGGGGGGGGTACTTGTTCTCGTATTCTCTTTGAAAGAAATCAATGTTCCAGTGTTCCCGTTGAAAAATAAAAGGTATTTCCTTGTTCCCTTAGGCTAGTAAAAATGTCCCCATGCTCCCAGTGGAAAATTTAAGTTGTTCCTGTGTTTCTGTACCATTTTTGGTCATGTTCCCCTGTTCCCGAAAACCCCTGGGAGGCCCTCATCACTATGTCTAGTGGTATCTTATGTGCTCAACAACAAGATTTTGTATTTTGGAAATTTTTGGGCCTTATCAACACTTTTTAGCTTAAAAATTTTGGTTCTGTATGATTTGTTTTCAATACTTTTAGGTTAATTTTTATAAATGCGGATGAACCTCCCCATATAGAAAAAGTCTGAGAGACTCCCCTGGCCTGGGTTTCTTACTTTGTTTGTGCTAAAGATTCCTTTCACTGAATATACAGCAAAACCTGTTTCTAGTGCAAACCAATTCCCTTTTTTCAAAACCAATTCACTTTTTTCACAACCAATTTATACTTTTTGAAATCAAATACTTCTTTTTAAAACGAAACCTTTCTTTCTAAAGCCAAACCTGTTTTTTTCACAAGAGCTCTTTATTTATCTTTTCATATGGTCAGAATCTGTCTGTTGCTCAATATTGGTCTGTTTAGCACCTGATAGACCCAACCCAATCAGGTATCCCACATTGAAAGCTTAGATAAGATAAAGCCATATAGGTTTACCATACACTTTCCGATACATGAAAGTATTAATTGCTTCAGCAAAATAATCATTTGGTTGAAACTGGCTTACATGAAAATAATGATCCGCTTGTTGTAGCAAGCAGGACTGTTGGAAGCAGTGGATTGGGGAGCTGGAGCCCCCAATAATTGCCAAACTGTAGCATACCTCCTTTATAACAGTGTACTGAATGGGAAGCAATACAATGGGCTCCCCCAAAACATGAATTTCATTTTGATGACACTGGTAGCAAGCTTCTTCCTCAATGCAATTTCCGTCTGTGCTTGATATCCCGAAAAGATGTTAAGCGATTTTGGTTCTAAAAATTGCTGGAGTTAATTGCTATTTTTATTTAAAACTGCTTGAGTTAAATGCTTTTTTGTAATGATTTTGATTAGATGCTGAAACATATGGGACACTTACACAAAACCAGTGTATTGTTGGATAATGGTAATTCTATCGCTGCAACCAGCCAAAATGGAAACCCTTAACCTATGTACAATTTAAAACAATTGAAAAAAATGCTTTGGGATTCTCTGTATTGGTGCCCATCTTCCAAACCATATTTGAGCATATACTTGCTGTTTATGTCTAGCGCATATGCCTCACTGTTAGATAAATGAGAATATTGAGAAAGGGGAAACTTGAAGTCCTAGCCAAGTCTTTTGCTTTCAAACTGGAAACCGAATGTTTTTGGTTAAAATTACTGTTACAGGGTCATTGCTTATATAGACAAATAAACAAATTAAGAAAAATACATTAGCAAGTAAAACCACATGTTTGGAAAGACTTTGATGAATCAGAAAAAAAAGTGTAAATGAAAAAGGACTATGCGTTTAATATACAGTTCATATATTTTCAATGAAACAGAAAACTGATTTATGGTCCACTTAACTACTCTTCCAATATTTACAGATAAATTCTCATCACAAAATCTGAAATTTTTCAGATTAAAAACTCACACCAAATATGTTCAATGATGCATGTAAAAATGTTTTAAAATCATTTTACAATACTCTTTAGCATTTTCCTTACTTTTGCTAAGCTGTATAGAACGGATTTACTAACTCCAGCTGTCAATATACCTTTTATACTCTGTGTAATACTAGAACTTCTAACAATTGATGCAACTGACTTTTTAACTAGCAATTCACATCGTTTGCTATCTTCAGTTAAGATTCTGCAATTACTATCAGACTCATCAAATGTCTTTATATTTGCAAACAATCTAAATTTTTCTTGCAAATTTGAAGGTAAGGATTTGAGCAGTCTCAATCTGCCTTGTGGACTTACATCTTGTATCCACAAAGAGTTGTTAAATTGAAGACTTTTTGAATCATTTAAAGTGGGTTTGTAAAGCGAACTAAATTCTTTCCTATTTGGCACTACAATATTGCTCACTTTGTATTTGTCTTCGCCAAAGGTCATTCGGAAGTCTCCAGTGTATGATAAACTAGTTATAGCCATATAGAGATCAATCTCATGAAACTTTTCAGGTAGCATAAGCAGTGATACATTTACTGCACTTGCAAGATTGCCATAATATTCTGACTTTAAAGGCTCTGTCAAGAATTCTTCTGATATCAGAACTGGCTTATGAAGTCTCCCACTCACATACAAGGTTTTCCAGTTTCTCAAATCATCTATCAAATTGTCTTGAGCTATTACACCATATTTGATAACCCTGTCTTCAAAATTAACCAACGTATTAAAGTAAACTGAGGCTCCATAGTCAGTCTGCATCTTTGCTAGAAATTTAGGCCCAAAATTTTTAATGAATGAATAATGTTCAGGGTGTCTTTCTAAATTCATTTTATGCCACAGAGCTGGGTTGTCGACAATAAATATAAGATCGATCATGTTATCTTTTGCAGGCTTGTTATTGTTCTGCTGAAAGACACCGCTTCCGTATGCAAACGCTGATGTGATTCCAACTGGGAACTGTCTTATTGCGTGTGAAAGAAAATCTTGCATTTTTGCTCCGAAATTTATTAATTACACAGTGATATAAGATTATTTACCAGCCAGCCTGTAACTTCTTTCTCCTGCATGTGCTGTTTTTCTTGTTGTTGTAGTTGTACAGAAATTGTTGCTCTTGCTGCTTTAATGCACATGTTGTTGTTGCACAAGAAGTTCACATGCTCACAAAATGGCCGCCGGGAACAGTGAAGCCAGTAGAGTCTTTTCGCCGTATCGTGCCGCTGGATTTATTTCAAATCACGTTCCACTTGCATTGCAAGTCAGAGGTACAGAAAATTTCGTTACAACTGCTGTCGGGAAAACATTTCACATTTACAATGTAAGTTTCTAGGCAAATGCAATTCATCGTTTGTTGTTGTTCTCTCTAAATCTAAACCTCAACATGAGTTTAGACATGATTTGGCTCACATTGTAGACTACAAAGTACTATAATTTTTTTGTCTAGCATAATTAACTTCAACTGGCAAAAATCCGTCGCACCTCCGCTTGGAAAGTCATCAAGACTTAGTGTTAGTTGCCCCTGCGAAAAAACCATTGCTCAACCATGGCTAACAATGGTGACACCATGGTTACACCATGGTTTTCAACCATTTCCCACCATGGCTGAGCAACGAAATGACCATGGTTAACCATGGTAGAACCACGAATTTCCAATGGGACCCATTGCTCAACCATTGCTGAACCATGTCTAAAATTTCAAAATTTTTACTTTTTCATAAATTTGCTTGAGCAATATTGAAAGCTGAAATGTTCAGGATTATTTTAAACAATTTTGAAATTTTCAGTTCTTTTTATGATTTCAGTTTAAACCATGGTCAGACCATAGCCAATACATGGTTACCTGTTCATGGTTGAACCATGGCTTAACCATGCTCAACAAATGTGTTTCAACCATGTTTTTCCATGGTTAGACCATGTCAACTAATCATTTTACCAATTTAGGTCAAATCAGGGTTCAACCATATAAACATTTGAATGTTTTAAATTACAAATTTGAATTTTTACAGGAATTGCATAATGCTTGTAAACTTGGTTTGAAACATGGTTCAAACATGGTTCAACCATGTCACTTGACCATGATCGAACCATGATTCAACCATGTTTCTCGGCCATGATCAAACCATGATTCAACCATGTCTCTTGACCATGATCAAACCATGGTTCAAACATATCAACCAACCATGATCAAGCCATGGTTCACTTTTGCTTTTTTTCTTCTTTAAGATTCCTCTTGCTTCTGCACTTCATGAACTCCTGCTGTAAGCACTCTCAAAGAGAATCTCTCTTTGAGCTCATCAAAGTTCTGACACAGTAAATTTTAATGCAAAGCTTTGCTTTTCACCAGAAAGCTCACTTTGCTTGATATCATATTTTTATTTGTTGCTGATTAGAGCATTTCAAGGTTCCTGATCAATTTTTAAAAAAGGCATCTTATCTTGGATGAAAAGTGTGCATAAAGTTTGGCAAAGTTCAGGCTTAACATGCAGTTCTTGAACTTGTTTTCATGAGACTGTATGCAAATACTAGCCTGTCACAATCTGTAGAATGGGGCTGCCAGGCAGGGCCAGTTCCATGGGGGTGTGTGGGGGGAGGGGGGGGTGTAACACAAGAATAGGCATTTGTGTTTTAATCGGTAAAATTGGGATTTTAGTCAGTAAAATTGGGATTTTGATGGGTAGATAAACTTTTTTGTAGAAAATTGTACTTCATGTAATTTTTAAAAACATTCAAAGATATTAAAAAGTTCTGGAGTTCAGTTTTTCCGTTGATCCAGAAGAGAATTTTCAGGAACATCACAGAAGAAGATTAATCCCAAGATATTTGACAAAACCAGAGACAATTTTAGTCTGGGAGATGCATTTCTAGCCATCCTATAAGGCTTAATTTCAAAAAATTTCTTTCGCGTCGGACCCAACCATGGTGGGTCCTACTATGTCACTGAACTTGATTCTTAACCCCCCAGGCTCAGTTTTGTGGCCCCATCTCTGAAACTGGGAAGCACAATGCACCAGTCGCATTAACGGAGTGTAATAATGCCAAAATGTATTCGGTAGATAAACGAATCTGGAATAAAAGATTTTGTACAAAAACATTTAAAGAATTTTATCAAAAAAAGTTTAAGTTAAATTGGTGTATACCCTGATAGTAGAAGGGGCGTGGTCGTTAAAAATTTAGAAAGACAACGCCCATAAAGTCAAATTTTCTAAATTTTCAAAATTCTTTAAATAAACTCTGGTGCGAGGAGAGTTTAAACTGAAGCCGTTCGTTGCGAAAAGTCTGGTTTATCCGTTCTCGTAATGAACGGGAAGTCTTTCCTTATCAAAAGTTGTACGGCACCGTGTAAACGCGATCTATCCGTATATATCTTTTTATCGGGATCAAACGTTATTCATCATCAAATTGCTCCACAAAAACGTTCTTATTTCGAAATCTTGCATCACTCGCAACAATACTTTCGGTCAGAAAAAGGGTCCCAAGCCCTCTAGATCTGTCCGGGCCTAACATTAAATACGCTATGTTACCCAGCAGTTCTTTACAATGAAGCTTTCAACATAATCAACAAACTTCCAACATAATCAACTGCACAAACCTTTTAAAAAATTATCTTGTTTTTGCTGCGTACATGAATCGCAAAGGTGAACGCACTGATAGATGATCGAACTGCAATCCAAACGGCCATCTTGTGTTTGAAAAAGCGCGCTCAAAAATGGCAGTTGCTTGTTGGTTGAGCCATGGTTTAGCGATGGTCAAACCATGATTGCATGCATAAGAAAATTTAAATCCAAAGGAAATAAATGTTTTCTTATTTGAAAGCAAGGAAATATGTCTACAAAACAAAGCTAATCTTGGAATACCCAACTTAACAGGCACCGCGTAGCAGGGGGGACAGGGGGCTGCTAAAAAAGTCAAATATTAAGTAATAAACTATCAGGTAAGCCTCTTTTTAAAAGGTTTTAGCCCCCACTTCTTTAAAACCCCCACCGTCTCAAAGCTCCCTGGTGCCTGCTTAATAATGAAACATATAACCATGCAAAAAATTACTTATAGGAAAAAATTTCTTAGTAGGAAAGGAAGAAAATACCAGGATTTTAAACAGTGGAGACTTCTTGTAGGGACATAGGGGGTGGAGCCCATCTTTATTGTTAGAAATTCTCTTGACTTTGAAGGGGGCAGGGGGCTTGATCTTGCTTTTGAATTTAAGTTAAAAATTCTTTGCCATTTTAAGAAATGTCAATTAATAAATTGACCATGGTTCAGCAATGGGTCAGCAATGGTCAGGCCAAATTTTCATAAAACATTTCAAATTTAAAGAAAATTATTTTTCTATGGCTTAAAAACAAGGAAATATGTCCACAAAGCAAATATAGTAAAAATCAAACTATTTAATTTAAAAATTCTTTGCCATTTTAGGAAATGTCAATTAATAAATGGACCATGGTTCAGCAATGGGTCAGCAATGGTCGGGCCAAATTTTCATAAAACATCTCAAATTCAAAAAAAATAATTTTTCTATGGCTTAAAAACAAGGAAATATGTCCACAAAGCAAATATAGTAAAAATCAAACTATTTAATTTAAAAATTCTTTGCCATTTTAAGAAATGTCAATTAAAAAATGGACCTTGGTTCAGGAATGGGTCAGCAATGGTCAGGCCAAATTTTCATAAAACATCTCAAATTCAAAGAAAATAATTTTTCTATGGCTTAAAAACAAGGAAATGTATCCACGAAACAAAACTAGTGGATATCAAGCTGTTTAATTTAGAAGTTCTTTGCCATTTTATGAATATCAGTTGATAAATGGACCATGGTTTAGCAATGGTTAGACCATGTTTATGTAAAACTCTTGCCATTCAGAATAAATGAAGGAAATTTATAATGAGAAAAGGAAAATATAATCTTTCAATTTGAAGGTATCAGAAACCAAGGACATAAACCCCCCCTATTGACTGAGTTGTGTCTTGAGACATGGACCATGGTCTTGACATGGTCAGACATGGTTACATGGAAAATGATAAAAAATACAGAAAACTGTTACTTTTTCTTGTATTTCTATAGAGGATAACTTTTTAGACAGTTGAGGATTCATATTTTCCAAGAACCAACAAATTAAAATCATTGCAGGCAAAATCTTCTTTCATTGCTCAACCATGGTCACTAACCATGGTCAGCACTTGTCAGGATCACGGCTCAACCATGGTATGACCATTGCAAACTATGGTTGGGCCATGAACCATGGTTGGGTTTTCGCAGGGGTGAAGTAGCTACTTTGCGTTTTGGGAGGCCATTTTTGCTAGAGGAAGGAGAGGGGGAATTCAGTTTGGTTATCTGGACCTGAAATACTATGACTATGTTTATTTCATATCTTTATTTTAGTAATTTGACATGCTTGCCATTCAGTTGAAATTGTAGCTGGACCAGAGTATGGCATGTGCACATCCCACACAGAACGCGTTACCCACGCAGACCATACTTTCCAGTCTGGTTGTACACCGTATCTTTGTCAAAATACTTCATCCCACCATTTAGGTATTTGGGTGCAGCAAACCAAAAGGGTGTAAAATGAGTGTGGTCCTTTTGACTGTGGGTAGCAAACCTATATCATGTTTCACTGCAGCTAGGCCAGGGTGGAATCCATTTGCAACTCATGCCAGACATATGCCAATAAACAATAGAAAGACAATGGGAAATCGTTAGTCTATGCCGAATATCTCCGGTGTAAGCTACATGGATTCCACACTGGCAGTCAGGAACATAAATACATTCCACTGCAGTCAGGAGCATATATTTTTTTGCCTGAATTTTCCCATTACACTCTTTTTTATAAGAACCAGTAAATTTAAGTTCAGGCTGACTGTTCTTAATTTTTTCGATAAAAAAAGGACAGCTGAAACATGTAATTCCCCTATTGAGTGGCATTTACTGGAAAAACCAGTTGTGCAATAACTATGATAGTGACATTTTTCAGATTTTGGTTAGAGCTGCACCGTTGTTTCATCTAGCAGTTTTGAAATCTATCTACATAAACACGAAAAAGCAGGTATTGTCTAAACCAGCCATTCTTAAACTCCGGCCTGCTGGCCAACTCCGGCCTGCTGGCCAACTCCGGCCTGCTGGCCAACTCCGGCCTGCTGGCCAACTCCGGCCTGCTGGCCAACTCCGGCCTGCTGGCCAACTCCGGCCTGCTGGCCAACTCCGGCCTGCTGGCCAACTCCGGCCTGCTGGCCAACTCCGGCCTGCTGGCCAACTCCGGCCTGCTGGCCAACTCCGGCCTGCTTATCTCAAAAAAGTATTTTGACTTACACACTTTGAAAATTTTGAATTCGATTTAGTTTTGTTTTGGACTACTCTGATATTTTCTTTTTCTCTGTAGTAAATGATAATGTGTGTCTTGTTGACCATTGATTTATCCAAAAGGGAGTACGAAAATAGGAAATGCTTTTTTTAATCATTTAAATGTTTCATAGCAAAATATTTTACTACTTTCATTGAATTCAATAGGTTGTTGATAAACTCACCATGACCTCACCCCTTCCTCCACTTTCTGAGACCCCAGGCTCAAGGCCCAGCCTTAATCTTTAGTTCATGAAGTTCTTGGTTATTAGCCTATGTGTATGAGGCAGCGTGTATGGACTAGGGCAATGGCTAATGCTTTATTGCCAAACTGTGTTTTATTTTTTTTTCTCTCCATCCTATTTTGGTTTTATTCATTGTAAAAAAGTTGATTATTCGCTGTTATGCTAAGATAATTCTAAAACTTTGGAAGACCCTTTCTTTTCATGTCAACATTAAAATAGATAAAGCTATGGAACAGTTAGCTTTTCTCCTTGTCAAATTCTATTTTAGATGCAGTTTTTGGCCATCCCTAGATTATTATAATCCAAAATTTTTCTTGCCCCCAACCATGGTGGCGGCCTTTTTTAATACAAACACAATCATTAAATTTTGGTCCCACTTTAAAATATGTTTCACCGTCCCTGGATTTGACTTCAAGTGCATTAAGTTGACCTAACAAATATTAACGTCAAATATAACGAATAACAGATATATAAACGCCTTAACCTAGAAATATCAAAACTGTCTTCTGATTCAATCTGATAAAAGAAATGTTTGCTGCAAACTTTTGTGTAATCATTTTTTTGGCTTTAGATACTTTGTTACAGTTTGAAGCTTTTAGTCCCCCTCCCCCAAAAAGTTATCCCTGGCCTTGGGTGTGTAAATCCGTTGGGTATTGCACATTGAGCCAATCCCACTAACATCAAGCCAGCATCATGTTCCTAAATGTTATCATCACCCTCCCTTTTTCTCTCCTCTCTTCCACCATTCCAGAGCTTATTTCATGAAAATGAGCAATCTACATAGATTTTGTGAATATAGAATCTAACAAGAAGTAATAGGCCTGCCTATCTTATCTCTAAATTAGCCTGGTCAGTACGAGTTCCAAACTTCATTTTGTGCAATTTTTTGACACATGCTATGTAAAAGTCGAAAACTCAGTGGCCCCCAGAGAAAATCCATGTGTTGCTGATGCTGTATAGGTATTGTGCTTCTACATTGTGACTGTGAGCTTCAAGCTCAATGTGATCAATAAGCAATTATTCATTTTAAACAGTACTGTTCTATACCCCCAAAACGTAATGGCAGTTTTTATAATAAACCAGAAATTATTTTGTACTTCTTTACAGGGGCGAAAATACCGGGGAGGGTGTGGGGGGTGTGACACCCCCAATCCAAAAAATAGTCGATTTCGCAGGGCAATCGAAGATTTCGCAGGGCGCCAAGAAGAGCTTTATTGCCACGCAGAAACGCCACCTCTGAAGTTCGTAAAGGGCCGTTTAGGAATTTTGAAATGGAAATATCGTATTTTTTATGAACCTTCCTTCCTGACATTGCATTTTAGAGAACGGAACAGGTATGTGAGGAAAAGCTCTGTTATTTGCAAAGCGAAAGCATTTCTTACCGAAAGTCATAGCCAATGGATGCAATGATAGATGCATAAGTTTATGAGGGCAAGATTGAGTCCATGCAAATTAATTTAAGTTGTAAATTATTTTCATGACAGGTACGACACCACTGGGGGGAATAGAGAGCTGAAAGCCCCCACTTTGGTCAAGAAAATAATTTTTTATCATTTTATATATTACTTTTTAACAGTGCATGAACTAAAAAACATAATAAATCGTTGAGATACCAATTTTGTTTCATCTAATTGCTAACTTTTTTACATATATTTTTATCATTTTTCTTTTATTTGCATTAATTCAGTAAATCATTTTCTGTATCATTGCAATGTTTTTATTTTGGATGGACTTCTTGATACAAGAAACTGCACATTTCTGTTCAGGAAAAAAAATTCTCCAAATCAAAGCAACATCTTCCTCTGTCATTCACAACTATGTGCAATCTGAAACGAAAGGTTGCCGTTTCTTTCCTTCCCCAACGTTTAATAATAGAGTTTTAGCATGATATTCCCCCTCCCTATTTTTCCCAATAAACAATAATATTTTCAATAAACAATCAGTTCTTTTAGCACAATAGTATTTTGCTAAGTTTTTGTCTGAAAGATGCCTTTTAGCCCTTTTACAAGGTATAATTTCAAAAATTTTCTTCACGTTGGACCCAACCATGGTGGGTCCTCCTACATCACTAAACTTGATTCTTAGTCCCCCTGGGCTAAATTTCGTTGCGCTGTCTACATCATGTATCCCAACCCCCATTAGCTGTTTATTAGCTAGTATTTTGCAAACCAACATTAAATGAAATGAATAAAAAAAAAAATATGCTCACGTAGAGAAATAGATATTTCATAGGCAATGAAGTTTCAAGTTTGTTTTTATTGCTTAGAGGTTTGTCCTTGGTAAAGACCAGTGTACACCGGTAAAGCTTTCGCTAGTAACCTATAGACAAACCGTTGCTTTGAGGTCTGCAGGGCACCACTCAGTTTTGCAGGGCAGAAACCCTTTTCACCCCCCCCAAACCTATTGGCCAAGTTACGCCCCTGCTTCTTTATACAATTTATTGATGCAGAATCCAAAAAGATGGAAGAATTTATAAGATTGAATTACCAAGAGGACTTCATGTAAAGAAGTTCTACAAACAGCATCAATTTTATGAAATATTCATGCAATGTTTGAATTTCAGTTGGTTCTAGAAAAAACTTTCAAAAATATTGAAACACTTGACAATTCTTTCATGATAAAATTTTTTTGAAAGATTGTGCTTTTACGAGATCTCCTTAAGAACTGTCTGGTAATGTTTAGTCATCCATCAGTACAGCAGTACCTGTCCTTGTTTAATGAAATGTGAAATATTTCACTTTTAGTGCTTAAAGCTGAATCTGCTTTTCGTGGGTGAGTTTGATTCATCATTGTCTTATTTTCATTATAAAAGTAATCACAGGATGTGCATTTAAATACGGCAAGATTGTGTATGTTCACCCACTGACCAGGAAGCCAGTCAATCTCAAATGAATTGCTGCCTATTTTGAATGATTGGAACTTTTTAAATACAATTTGGACCAATGCCTTCAAAGTATAAATAGCTTCCCTATTTCCAATGCTCTTATCGTTTATTGCATAATTGCAGCCATTCAATAAATGAATATTTTTTATTTTTTTAAACCTTTCCATCAAGCTGAAGATTTTCTGAGAAGGTTCATGCCAAATATCACTGTTATGCCAAGATGAACTAAATGAAATTTGTACTCGTCTGTTTTGTGTCCCTTTTTTCTGTTCGTTTGGAACTGTCCCTCTAAGTGCAATGCAAGTTTGTGCTTTACTGATTATCTTCTTATGTTAACTAAATTCGTAAATATGTGCAATTGCTGAGTAATAATTGTCACGACACTTTGCCTCCACAATCATCCAATATTGAACTTCAAAATGACCAAGGTTGGACACATTCAGTTCTGCAGATTTATCACACTAAATATGGTCAATTTTACTTATTTTTATTACCTATCTGTTAATTTGATTAATGTACTCTAACAAATATGTACTTCATGTGTCACATTCTGCAGGTGAAATTCAGGAAGATAACATTGATCTTATTGCAAATCATGGGGAGTACACTGTAACAGCAGCAAGTAAAACCATTAAGTTATGGAAAAGAGGAAAACTGGTATGCTTGAAAGAAATCTATATTATCACTGAATTTGATAAATTGACTAGTTTCACTCATTCATTTAACAGACCAGACAAAATACTTTTGTCAAATACTTCAATGGCTTTACTAATTTGGCTTTTCTAATTTGGTCCCCACAATGTTGATTCTCCACAATGTTGATGTCTACTGCTTTTCTAAAGCTCTTTATAAAGAGAAAACAATCGAAAATAGGCTAAAAAAGCAGTTCTGCATTTTTTACGACCAAAGTGCATTCTGAGAAGTGATATTTTGATAACTTTTCGTTGATATACTTTGAGCTGAGACGGATCTAGATATTTCTAGATATTTTTGTACCTTATCTTTTTTTATTTCCACTGTCTTTTTATTTTTACTGATAAACTTTCAATTTTACATATGAATGATTTTTAGTTCCATGTTTTTGAAGAAGTTAGTTAATTAAGTTTTCTTGCATTATTTTTGCACTTTTATTTATTTTTTTTCAAGATAAAGCAATTCGAGAAGCACAAATCAAATATCGTGTTTATGCTTCCTTTTGGAGAGCATATCGTATCAGCTGATGAAAGTAATTTGGTAAACATATGGAGTGTTCAAGACCTTGGTAAGTTTAGTAAAAGCAGCTAACACTTGAGCTTAAAATACTGTCAAAGTCAGATAATTTGAACTTTTGTAGGCTGCCATTTTCGAATTATCGAAAGGTCAAGTATTCAACTGGCCTAGCTAACAATAGTTCTAAAAAGAATTGCAAAACTTGAACCGAGGTTTTAAGAATTGAAGAGTTTTAAGAATTTTGGTGTTGACATGGTAAAGAGAAAACTTTGCTCGAATCAGGGGTTATCATGGACTTTATTATCTTTATAATCTTGTATAATCTCTCTTCGTTGTTTGATCGAGTATGACCACATATTTCTTCTTCTTGATGCGAAGATTTCTATAAATCCTGCTCGCATTATACTGTAGGAATGCTTGTAGCATGTTTCTTTTATGCCCTGCTTCTCAAGATGCATTTCTATGAACTCTTTTTTTTAGATGTTTATCTAACACTACCATTTAGCAAAAATGACTTTGAACTGACAACAGCCCTGCACCCGAGTACCTACTTAAATAAGATTGTATTTGGGAGCAGGCAAGGACACATGCAGCTGTGGAATGTAAAAACAGGGTGAGAGATTGCTGATAATTAAATCCTTTGATAACATACAACTCTGATTAGCCAAGAGGTAGTTTCTGTGTACAAAACTAAAAGCCAGAGTATTATGCTGGTTTTTCACCACCCTCTGGTTGCAAGGTTTTTTGAGTATTCGTCAGTTATTAGGTAGTAGGAGCTTTGATTTCAAAGAAGTTAGAGACATAGTTAGTGTACTCTCAGTTTTTGAAGAAGTCATTACTGCATCCCCCTAGTTACTTGCCTAACTGTCAACTCTAATCACTTTTTTCCTAATTGGCACAAATGACTATATATAGTATCGTTCAGCCTTCTATTTATAGGAAATTCATAATTATACCTCCCCAGATTTGTTGTGAGTTATAGCGAGCGCTGAGATATTCTTTGAAAAATGCTCTTGAGATATTCTATAAATTTCTTCTCCCAAATCTTGTTTGAACGTGTTATAAACACGAAGAAATCGTATGATGATAGCAATCCTATACTTTTCGAAATCTCAGAAAAGCTTTGACACTATTCTGCAACGTGATTTAAGAACCATTTTGCTAGTAGTGTAACGAGATATTTAAGGTAGCATTTTCAGTACACTGACTGGTAAAGTTAAATTTGTTTTGCAAATATTTTTTGTGTGAGAAATTTTAATAAATTATAATTTTCTTAGCAAACTCGTGTATGAATTTAACGGTTGGTCAGAGCCAATAGTTGTGTTAGAACAGGTGTGTATTTGTTTCATTATGCACTTACATTTGAATATTTTTTTCTGTATGTAAGCTCCACGGATACATTCTATACCCATTGAACTCAGTATTTGCTGCTTTTTAACGATGAATTGCAAAGAGTGTACAATACTAGCAGCAGATTGTATTTGTAGGCAGGACGTTTATGACTGGTGTATCCTGACAAAAATTTCCTTGGTCTTTGTATAGGACTAGGTGAACCCTGTTGGCCCCACCCCCTTAATTATATTATTTTGGTTCTTATTCAGTTGAGTTATTCTTATGTATATTCTTTGTTGTAAATAACCTAGGAACACTCGTATTGTTAAAGTAATTTACATTGTTGACTCAAGTTTAGATATTTAGCATACAGGTACGAAGGCAGAAAATTAGGGAACTAAAATTGTGGTTCCATCTCCATTAGCCAGCAGTCTGTACTAAGACTTTCTGTTTAAGACTATTTACATTGTCCATAGAGCAACAGGCTTTACTGAAATAAGTTGTTTGCTTTTGGATTCTATCGCGCACCAGCTTCATTGTTGTAGAGTCGAAGTTAAAATCATGTTTTAATGTGGATGCATTGTACGATTTAGTTGACAGAATGCTTGCTTGCTGCCTTTTAACTGTTTTTATCTTGATTCATCCTCTAGCCAATCATATTTTTATCGAGTTTCTTATCTCAAAAATGAAGTAGGACATTCTCCATAGATTCTGTTTTGAGTAATTTCTTCATACTTATTTCTTTGTTGTTGGACTTTAGAGATAGCAGACGTGGTGTTTTTAACAATATCCTGTTTTTTTATAGGAAGCAACTTTTTATCGAATGTCTGATTATGTACGAAGGATGTGTACATAAAGTAGTAGTTGATATACCTAAAAGTGTCAATGGGCTTGAACAAATAGCTACCATATTGTTTATCTAGGCCCCGGCAATCGACGTAGCAGCTGTTGGACTGGAAAGTGGGAAAATTGTTTTACACAACCTTAAATACGATGAAACTCTTATGTCGTTTATGCAAGAATTTGGCCCTGTTACATCCATTTCGTTTAGAACAGGTATGTGCACCGTTGGTTTATGTTTAATCATAATTTTCTACCTGAATTGAATTTTCTATTTTCTAGCAATGTCTTTGTGTCTTGTGTTCCTTTTAATGAGCTTTTTATTATAATTTCGCTGTCAAGGCAGTATGTTTTCATAATCCTTTTTAAAAAAATTATAAAACTCAATTCAGATATATTTTGCCAGACACATTTCAGTTTGAGGAACTTCTTCAACTGCATTCTTCCAGCTCTATAGTCTTATTTTTATTGTCTGAAAAATGTGAACTTTGACTGGAAATATTTCCTTATAATTTGAAAGCACCTCGATTTGAAAAAGAAGCAATCTCTCTTCGCGTAAGCTATCAAATGCTGCATAACAGCCTCTTCCTTGTTTCCTCGCACTCAGACAGTTTATGTTACTCGCGATAATAATTTGTGATACTTAATGCTTTAGATAATGTTCCACTTATGGCCACTGGTAGTACTTCCGGGCATGTAGCGTTATGGGATTTAGAGAAGCGTAAAGTTCACAGCTGTTTACGAGATTGTCACAGTGGAAGTGTCACAGGGATGAAGTTTCTTCAGAACCAACCATTGATGATAACCTCGGGACAGGACAATTCGCTCAAGGTATTAATCTTTTTTCGTTACTATTTTGTAATAAACTATCAGGTAAAAAAAGATGAAAAGAAGTGGTGAAATTAAAAAATATTGTTTCTCCAAAGCATCTAGAAATAGCATCAAATGAATTTGTACAGTAGTTCATCCATAGTTTTATTATCAAATTACGAAGCCAATCACAACTTCACATAACTAATGAAACCAGCAAGATACGTTCTTTAACATTTTAAAGATACATTCTTTAATTTGACAGATAATTGATTTTTTAGCTTTTGCTAGACATACCATTTGCTGGTAGAACTTGTTAGGTCTTTGGGAACTTTCGTTGCGTTGCATTTCAACTCAAGATAGCTATGAGAACCTCTTCAGTTTCATCCTGCAAGTTTCCTTGTTTTAACTTCCCTTTTTAGGATGATCTGAACTGCCTGTAAGAAAATGGCGGCTTGGGTGACGTTGTTGTTTTTCTCTTTATAGCTGTGGATATTTGATAACTCCGATGGTTCAGGTCGGCTGCTTAAAAGTAGAACTGGACATTCGAAGCCTCCAACATCCGTCCGCTTTTATGGCTCCAGTGGGCACATAATTCTAAGCGCTGGTAACTACTTTCGTATCTTCTAATGATCGGTTTTATTGACGTTTTGATCAAATTTAGATTCTTTTTTATCTTTCGAAAAGAAACGATGTTGTGCGTGCTTCATTTTTGCTAAAACTTTTAAGTCTCTTCGTTTTTATTGTAAGATGACTAGCATAGATCCTCAATTACTTATTCATTTTGCTTACAGACTTTAAGCAAAAGTTGCTGAAATGTCACGATGTATTGAATCTTCACTGTTAAAATTCGCCGTGCTTTCATAACATGTGTGGCTTTTTAGATATTTTCAATGAAGTATTATAGACATCAGTGCGTAGTTAATAGGCATCCTCTGTCGGAGTCGGCTGCTTTTTTCGCGATCACTTTAGTTTTATGTAATCTGGCCACCCATGACCAACAACTGGTCGTTGATAGAACCTATTTTCAAAATCAGTACGAAGTAAATTCACGTGATCAGTCTCAGGTCAATCAATAGTATTGTAGCTCGGAAAACTTGACTTTGCACATTTGGTTATACCCAGTCCTTTTATCGTGGCTCCGTGCCTTCAAGTTTTCTACTTTAGGATGACATATGCTACTTTTTTCTGATATAAACCAAAGACCATCTTCAAATACATAACTGTCAATTATAAGTTCCCAAAATGCAATAGGCCTATCGTTCTACACAATTATTTCAATTGTTTTTATTAAACTTGCTATTGTTCCAATCTTCTTTGATGCGTGAGGCGTGCACAAAACTGATTAGAATTTCTAGGTTTACAAGTAAATAAATATACCAAATATTATATGATTCTGTTTATAAACGTTTTTCTGAGTTTATTAAGCAAATGTTTGTAGCTATTTTAAAACATAGTTAACATCAACGTAACTTATAGCCCTAGATCGTTCGCTGAGGTACATGTCTACGATTAGAGACGAACAGAGTTGTGAGTTTTCTCAAGGTAAGCAAATGATCTCTGCTTTTTTTCATCGATGTCTCCATTTAATTACTTTTAATTGCAAAAATTATTCGGAACTGATACATAATTTGAATCAATTTCCATTTTTCTTTGAAACCACGTTGTATACTTTGCATGGAATTTCTGAAATTTTTCTAAAAATTGAGCACAAAAGAATTTATTATCCTTTTGCTTTTTACTTAAATTATTCCCCTTTTAAATTATTCTACTAAAGCTCAGAACTAATTCACAATATTTATGAAATTTAGAAATTCACAAAATTTGCCTAGTCCAAGATTCAATTTTTTACCTCCGTTTCTCCTTCTGAATGAACTATGATCTGTCTAGGTTCGTTAATAAAGATATCAAAGAACTTAGGGTTGCGAGTGGAGGACCTAAAGCTTCCCCCAATCACCGATGTGGACTCAGGTTAGTCACCAAAGTTACTAGATGTTGTCTTCTTAAAGGTGATAAATATTATTTATTAATTCTCTGTCTCACCTCATAATTTTCTGCTTCTTCTTCCACAATATTTTTGAAAGGATTTGACTGACTGCTAACCATTCCTTTTAGTTAAAAATGTAGATCAGTACTTGACAAGTGATAATTTAGAAGATTTATTAGTAGTTTCAAGCTAATAACTTTTTGGATATTTTGCTAGTTTATTTGTAGTATTTTATTGATGGTATATTCAGTAATATCAAGTTATGATTTTCTGTAACCTCAAAAACATATATCTCTCTACAGCATAGAAGACCTTAGCACCTTTTCCATTGTTATTATGGCTTAGTTTGATATCTGATAAGTAGTGTTTTTATTTCATAAAGTTGAAAGAAGGATGTCAATGCACAACATCCCTTTAGCCGCACTTGAATGTTTTATAAATTCATTGTTAAGTATTTATTGTTGTAAGCCTTTTCATCTGTTAGTACGACTTGGATATTGTAGATCCTACACGTTCAAGTGACTGGGACAACGTTGTGACATGCCATTCTGGATCATCTGTTGTGCGTACATGGAGACTCCAGAACAGATGCATTGGTAAAAATTCTTTGGGTAAAGAATTGAAAAAGTTACATGGCAGTATAGCCGTGGTATGCATCCTATGCTCTTCTATGCTAAGTTCTTGTTGATGGAATTATTTACTTATAATTCATTACAATACGAAATGCTTTATGATAACGTGAATTTACTTGCCAGAAATGAATCGGATCCCTCTTGATGGAAAATTAATTTGCAATTATGAAATGCTAAATATATGCTTTTAATTTATAAATGGTCCAGATCTCAGTTATGTAGTTACATTTTAAGAAATTGAAATCTAAAGTCTGAAATGTTTAACTGTAACTAATTTTTTATGATTAGTTTGTCTTTTAATTTTTTAAATCCCACCTTATCCCATATTCCTCAATAATTCTCTTTGAAGAACTTTAAGATACAACTTCTCTGTCCTTTTCCGAATTATGCCCCTGGTGGTGTTGGCCGAGTTCACATTACATTTCACTTAACTGAGTGTCAATTCATTGTGGCTCCTCTAGTTCTCGAACTGCATTTAAGTATTGCGGTATGATGAATAGGTTTTTTGATAGGAGAATAAAGTTAAAAATTTTCCAAGGTTTGTATAAAAAAGCAAACTATGTTCATTTCGAAAGGTTGCAAGGATATCAAGCTGTGGAAATTTCGTCATTGTTGGCTATTCGACTGGTTTTATCGAGAAGTTCAACCTGCAGTCTGGAATTCATCGAGGGTCGTTCATTGAAGCAAATAACAAAGGTTTGAAATCATTAAGAAAATTTCATCAATTTCATTGCCTCCAAATGAGTTACTTTCCCAATTTCTGCATATTGAATCTGGGGTTTTCTCTGTATTCCTGCCTCCCATTTTAGACAACAATTACTGAAAACGAATAATCACTCTAAGGAATTACTACTGCACATCCACTGTAAGCGGTGTAAACTATTTTCATGTTGAAAATTTGCCACAAAGTCATGCAGTGAATAGGCCGTTCGTTGGATTCCCAAAATCTTGCATTCGGTGACATGATATTTCACATACAGAGCTTAATCAGAGGGTCAGTTCTGATATTACAAGCTGTATGCCAATTAGAAACTGCTTACCAATTTCAAAATTTTGATTCAATTCTTTTTTAGCGCACATTAAATCAGTTAAAGGTGTAGTTACAGATTCTGCAAATCTTCTTGTTGTTAGTGGGTCGTCTGATAAAACAATCAAGGTTTGTTCTAATTGAAATTATTTTTTATTCAAATGAATAAGATAACTTTTCATATCGTTCGATCTAAGAATGGTAAAAGTCTGATTAATAGAAAAACTGCCTCCATCAAATTATGCCCAAATTATTTCATGAATAATTTCGTGAAAAAATGCTGGGTCATGACATGAAGAAAGACTGCAGTAACATTTGAGCTATACTGTCATGTTTTCCTCTCTCTGGGGTTTTTCCCAGGGCTTAGGACATTCCTCCTTATCTATAATAATAGGTTAATTAATCTTTTGACGTAATTATAAATCTTGTTTACCATTTTCCCTGCATTTTAAGATATTCAAAGTTAGTTGATTCGACGTATTTGATAACTAATTCGTATGACTTTTTGCGGCATCAAATTACTGTTTAAACTTTTTTCTTAAAGTTTATTTTACCCCTAAGATTTACATAACAAAACAATAACAGCCAAAATTTTATAGTTTAACAGATTTTTGTTATTATGTAGATGCATTTTGTTCTTTGTAACACAACATGTTATCTTTCTACATCTGAAAATTTTAGTCTGTCTTTGTCATAAGGTATTTAAGAACTGTTTAATGTTAATCGTTTTTGTTTGGTACAATCTTTTTCTTGGCGAGGGATAAAAAATAAATGAAGGAGACTTCTTAACATCGTGTAATTTGAAATGAAGTATACTCATACGAAAGTGCGTTTTTGCCTTGTTATTGATTTCAAAACATTTTGTAGAGGGGAATATTTCAATCAAAGAAAGTCTGTTTCTGTAATTACTGAAGATAGTTATGACTTTGTAAAGAAGTTTCTCTTTTTTTTAGTATTGGGATTTTAAATCTCATAAATTCATATCAAGTCAAGAGCTGGAATTCCCAATTCGGCAACTTGTTCTTCATCGTGACAGGTATGGCATTAGACACTATACGGCAAACATCAAAAACAAACATTTGACAATTGCATGTTAATAAATTGACTCTAATCATAAAATTTTTTGGATTGGACATTTAGTACATTAAGCACCTCTTTGAACAATTGACCAACCATTCTGCTTTAAACTGCAACCTTGTCAACAGCGTTCCGAAGTGTGACGTTACAAGATAAAAAAATTAAAATTTTAGAACTTTTTTACTTTTGATTACGGTACTGAGTTATGGCAAGTCAAAGAACGAAGTTTTCCTAATGAATGTTCTTGGTTGGTGACTTTAACGGTGATGTGTTGGGGGAAAATCCGGTGCTTCATCAGGCAATTTGAAACATATTTAATTGGTTCTGCACACTTTCAAGTTTTTTATTTGCTCTTTCAGATTATTTGATCTAAATTGACAATTTCTTTAAATATTTTAATGACATAATTAATTGGAACTCCACTAGCTGTTTAATTTTGACAAATTTTGTTATTAGCGTAAAAATTTGGCCAGACATTATCTTCCAACGAAAGCTTGATCTGTAAAATAACTCTTCAATGAATTGCCAAAAGATGTGTTTTTGAAAAGTAATTTTTTGTTGAGATTATAGTTTTAATGCGCCTCCCGTGCTCTGGAATCTTTTCTTTGGCACACTAGGATTGCTGGAAGATTTTCAAATTTCACCTATGCCTCCCTTGATGTTAGCTTGTAAAATGTTTTTTCGTTACATAGAACTATCCATTTTGAATTTCATTTATCATATTGAATGCATCTCCTCTTCAATATTGGTTGCAAATCTTTACGTTATTTCTTTATTTTTACCAGCTCATTAATGGCAGTTGCTTTGGACGATTTCACAGTAAAGATTATTGATATAGATACAAAGAGAATGGTCCGAAATTTTGTAGGCCATCAGCATTCAATAACAGATATTGTGAGTTGATATTATCATATATCAGAACAAAGCATAAAACTCTTGGTATTTTATAACAGAGAAGCTGAAGGAATATTTGGAATTAAGTGATTAAATATGTAAAAGGACTTTCATTTACCATTGGATCTCGAAGAAATTTGCTGACAGAATGCCGACTTAATATTTTGATGTAAACAATTTATTTATTATGCAAGTCCCTGCTAAATGAACTGTAATATCTCCTCAATCAAATTTTTTTATTCCTGAGCAATATTTCAAAATAGGTTAGAAACTCATCAATTGATTTGATTCGGTATTTTATTTGTTATTTTTATCGTGTCTCTGCACATATATTTTAGAAAGTAAGTTGTGTATTTACACATATGCTCAAGACCTTTGATTCACTCATTTAGATATTTAGCCAATTGGATGCCTTTGGTTGTCATAATGAATCAGGATATGACAATGCTTAGATTCTTTCAGGCTTTCAGTCCTGATGCAAGATGGCTCATCACTGCAGCAATGGATACCTCCATCCGCTTATGGGATTTGCCCTCTGCAAGGTATATTATGGTACTCATCTCTGCTCATCTCAAAATTTTTTGTCACCCAAGGCAAATCATGCCTGCTTTGATTTGGAGAGGGGTTGTTTCAAAATAAAATTTTTGGGATAGTGAATCTAAAGGAGTTTTGGTATAGCTACCACACTCTGCAGCCTCCATGCGCTGCGCTTTAGTATTTCCTAATTGTCTTTTTCAAACTGCGATAGATAGTTGTGTTTTTATTTCCTTCCTTAATGTCAACAATAGCTGCTCGACTCAATAGTATGTAATTGTTTACAAAGTAAGTTCAAAGCATATATATTTGAAAAAAATATGTCAAAATGACAAGTATAATTCTTTCTGTGATTTGATTGAGAACAGTCTCGCCTAAGCTTCTCTTTACGTCATAAAATGCCATACCTTCTACCTTTTCATTGTAACGTAAAACATCTGTTAATAATTATGGGTCATTAATAAATTTATAGGAACACTGCGATTCCTGAAAAGTGTTTGTCATGTCTGCTAGTAATTTAGGGAGCTTAAGTATTGGAGAAGAGGAGAATGGATTTTACTGAGTAAATGGAAGTAGTGTCACTTTGCCAAAACAGCTTTAAAGTTAAATAAAACATTTCCTATTCATTGAGCTGGTTGGTTTGGTCTTTCCTCGGCCTTGGTATGCATCACTAAGTTAAAGACCCATTTTTGCTTGATAAACATAGTTAGTAAGCCTAAATATTGTTACATCAAGTCTAAATTGTTTTTGCATGACTCACTCTTATTATCACTGAATATCTAAAAAGATTTACAAAGTTTTGGGAATAGAAGAATTCGCCTCTTTGGCAAACATTTTAATGAAACTCATGGTGAAGCCTTTTTTAATTTTGAAATTGCCAAAAATTATACGGCGATTTAACTCTGCACAATGTGTCTACGAGAATTGGAGAGTTCGAGGCTACTGGTATAAGAATTTTATTGTCATAAAGATCCATTAACTGGTATATTTATCTTCTTATTTCCAGTAGGCAGATTCGTTCAATTTCCAAGATTTATCCCCAAACTCCTCACAGCTAGGGGACATTGTTTAATAAAAAAATTAAGTTTAAAAGTGGGTCAAATATGCTCCATATAGTAAGTAAAATTGTAGTAAAGGTTTCTATTTCCACCTGCCAGCCATTTTGCAAATTTTTCGTAAATAATGAAATTGGATAAATTGCGAGTGGGTCTTATGAAGCTGTTAATGAATGCCTTTTGTTTGTAAGAAAATGAAGTACTGAAGTACAATATCTAAAGATTTTGTATTAATGCCTATAATTAATTTCTCTTTCTCTATTGATTAAATATTGGTTGATTGCATGTATTTTTAACCAATTTATTCATTTTTCGACAGACTTCTCGACTGTTTCCTCGTTGATTCACCTGTAACAAGTTTTTCATTTTCACCAACTGGAGACTTCCTTGCAACTTGCCATTTGGATGACATTGGTGTATATCTCTGGTAAGGGTTATGCTGTTTCCAGTTAAAGGCTACGCGAGGTTGATTTATAATTTTTTGAGATCTTTAATTGCCGATGTAATAGTGCGAAAGGCAATTTTCGTGGAGCAGATATATATGATTGAATATGTACGTTGCATGTGGTACTTCATCCAGAATAACGATAATACAGTTAGCAAATAAATTTAGTACCGGAATGAAAATATAATAGGTTGATTGTTTAATCATTCAAAATTATATTAATTCAGATATATATATGAATTCAAAATTAATCTTACGTAAGGAGAGCCCGATGTAGTTCTTGTATCAATAGAGTTCTCAAGTGTGACGTCACAAAAAACTATTTTTAGAATTTTCGAATTTTGACCACATGACATGAAAGAATACCATGAAATACCCCCATTTATGCAAAATCAGTTAAATTTGTCAAAAATCGGGTGAGCTATGGTCAATAGAAGATTTGAAATTTGCTAACGGATTACTGTTTTTTTGGCTCAGTTCATAAAGTTATGAACTGAGACCAAATTACAGCGGTTTGATGGGGCCAGCTGGTCATATCTCAACCAATTCGTAATACCTTTAACTGATTTTGCAGATTTAGAGGTATTGCATGATGCTCTTTCAGGTAATGGAAAAAAAATTCAAAAATTCTAGAAATAAATTTTTGTGACTTTATTAACATTAAATTGCAGCTGAGTAAAAAATCCTTCTTTGCTCACTTCCACAACAGTGTGTGAACCTGCGATTTTAATCGTCTGGGTATGTTTAGTAGCCTAAAGGTCTTAATAATGAATCTCTACAGGATTTTATTAATTTGTCTATAATCACTGCACCGTTTAACACGCAAGAAGATTCTAAAATGAAAACTTTTTTAAATGCACTGTAAGCTTTGCATTGATATCCCAGAGAGCTTTTTGACTTAGGTATTTTAATAGTAGAGAAACGAAAAATAGAATTGGAAGCCATCATAGACTAGAACATTTTTTGTAACTTTTTTAAATGCACTGTAAGGTTTGCATTGATATCCCAGAGAGCTTTTTGATTTAGGTATTTAATAGCAGAGAAACGAAAAATAGAATTGGAGGCCGTCGTAGACTTGAACTGAAGTTAAAAAGCATTTTCTAGTGATACCATTACGATAAAGTCAATCAGACGTGTCATCTTAACCGATGATCGTGCTTGTGGTCTTTTGAAATGAATGAAGGCAAGTTAAGCAACATGGAAAGATGATATGAGAATAACAAAACTTCCTAAGAATGTTACGATATTCAAAATCAAGTCAGGAGTGATCGATGCAGCCTTTTTATCAACTGGCATTCGCTTCAAGCATTTGGAAATGTTTTCTGATCTTCCCCGCATAGCTTTGTTCAAATTTTTGTCAATTCTGTTACATTTCATGTAGATGCATATGGGTCTGACTAATTTTTTATTCGCAATTCACTCGTGGTATTATTCATCTTTCCATAAATTTACCAAGCCAGATCATTTGTTGGTTTCGCTAGAAGCATTTTGATCTTTCAAAGACTTATTAAACGGTGCTATTTGAATCAAGCAGGCTACTCAAAAATAGGCAATATGATAATAATAATGTATTTTTCATCCATATCACATGGCATGCCTTTTCAGATATCCTCTGCTGGCTCTTTGACTTTGTCGGTTTGTCTCGCCTTATTTCTTTGTCATACTTTGTCTTATTTTTTCCAGGCACAGCCATATGCTGTCAGTGGGTGTTGCATTATTCAAATGTTATAATTCATAAGCTATTTTTGACTGATGCTCTCTCTCGATTTCAGGTCAAATAAATCCCTTTATAAAGACTTGTACTTATCACCTTTGCCAAAGGATTTTGTCCCACGGCGGGCAAATCTACCCACTACTATTATCACTGATGATGAAAGCGGTACGTGCCCTAATGAGCTTTAATGTATATTCCAGTTACGTGGTTTCACTTATATTGTCTGAATACATCTAAGAGAAGATAATTCAATTATCTAAAGCTTTTGGCTGCGACAAACTGTTATGTTTTCATAAATAGAAGGAATGCCAGCAGTGTAATATGAAAATATTCACTTGGTATTTTGCGTGGGCTTTGTCGACACTCTTAGCTGATTTTGATTAATGTTTTGAAAGCCTTTCACCGACAGGCTTTAGCAAGATCTTTATTAAATATGATGAAGAAAAGAATTTAGGCAATATTCTTCTGGGCAACTTTTTATGAAACCAACCATTGACTTCTGTTAAGTTATGACTTACTGATTTGCATTGGTATTCAGGATAAAGGGAACAATTATTTTCTAGCTATTGGTGGGTTGTATTAAAAGATTTTTTTAATAATAGGAAGCAGAATAGACGTTATCAATAATTACCTTTTTATGATTTTAGAATTCTTACCCCATCACATCACAAAAGCATCACAAAATACCTCTTGATATGCAAAATCATTTGAAACTGTTGCAAATCGACTTAAATATTACCAGTAAAAGACATGTTTTTTCTAACGAATTGCTGTTGTTTTTTTCTGTTTCAATGAAGTGAGATACACACAAACTAGAAATAAACTATGTCTGTTTTTTAACAATAGCTTTTAAACTTCTTTGTCTTTTTTTCGTTAGTTGCAACTATTGGAGAAACTACACCCATAGATATAAAGGAACCAGAGGAGACCCAGACAGCAGACGAAAGTCTTCCTGAGCAGATCAGCAACGAGATTATCACTCTTTCCGCTTTGCCAGCTTCCAGATGGAGGAATCTGCTCGACCTCAAGCTCATCAAGGTGATCAATCTTTCATTAACTTTGTTTACAATTATTTCCATGTCTAGAAACGTATATGAGAGACATTTATTATTTAAACTGTCTACAATCCTAAGATCGATAAGAGAGCTTTTAGCGAGCTAATATATTGCTCGTAAAATAACCTAATTGATGCAATTGCCTCGTAGATTAGCGAAGGCACTTATAGGCGTGTGGTAGCCAACTGATAAAAGTTTAAGAAGCTTTATTGTACATCAAATATTGTTTACTTAGGGATGAATGCCTATTCGCAATCTAGAAACTTTTAAAAAAGTTAAATGCCAGCAAAGCTTAAGTTAAAATATTAAGGTTAATAATTTGAAATCTGTCTATTATTTTACTTTTATTGATATCTATCTATTATTTTAGTACTTATGGCCGGACAGTTTATGCCTAAACTTTTGCCTTGAACAACATTTCTGTTGCCGTTACGGATGTAGGCCAAAAATGACCTATTTCTGGACCCTTTTCTGCTTCTAATATGTTGATTTTTGTTTGTTTACTCCCCATTAAAATAAATTTCACTAAGTCAGCTATTTGCTGTGTTGTCTTGTCCAAATTTAATAAATGCAGACCAACGAACTACTAATTGTCCAAATTTTTGCAAAGCTATTTTTGAGAAAAATGTAGAATAATTTGACAGTGATTTTAAATTTTATTTGCTTTTCTTTAAAAATTCGCGCTAAAAGTAGTAAATTTTATACTTCCATATCAATAACGGCTCCTCAAACAGGATGATGATATCTTCCCTCCCCCTATGCATTCTCTCTTTCCTCTAATTTTCTAAAATCAGCAATCTTTGAGGAGCGTCTTTCCTCTCCAATTTTTGCGAATAGGAACACATTTTAAACAGTTTAACCGTTTTTCTATACTCAAGACTGTAAACCCTACTGTTTGATGTAGTATACTGTATATTTTTTATATATGTTATATTATTCGTTTGAGAATTTTCAGTATTAATAATAATGCCGTTTAACAGGAACGAAATAAACCTAAAGAGCCTCCACAGAAGCCAAAAGCTGCCCCATTCTTTCTCCCGACTATACCAGGGCTGGAACCCAAGTTTGATACGTCACAGGCTGAGGATACCGCCGTAAGTGTATATCAATTTTCTTTGAATATCATGTTGTAGCTATTAGCAACTTCTGGTTTGAAGTTTGTCACAGGCTGAGCGCATTATCTTATGCGCCAAGTAAATGCTCTTTTTCACTTGTCGTTGTCTTTTTGTTGGGAAGCTGAAATTCGTGGTGCCTAAAAGCCCTTTCCAGTTTAATCCAGTTAGTGACAAATTTAATCCATTATTGCTTGCTGGCTCTGTTGGAACTCAGAGCCCGCCTCCTTTACACCAGAAGCGGAAACTCTAAAGATTCATCCACGTTGTCCAAGATCATTAGAGTATCTTTTATTTCTTCTTTTTTAACTGAAACTACTTTCAAGGCTCTTGTCCCGTCAGTTCATTTTAAAATCATTTTCTATCTTCCCAATGGCCCGATAAGGTGCCTGTAATGTTAAATTTTGGGATGGTTTTAAAGGCTAGTTTTATAACAAAATAATCCCTCCCTCTATTTTGAGTTGTCTAGTTTTCTTTGGGACACTTCCCTTGTCTGATTGCCAGTATGAATTCATTTCAGCTGCAATATTTTTCATTTTCAACTGCTAATTTCTTTGTTCGGTTTAATTTGATCAAAAAGATCTTCGGGGATCAAAGATTAAAAACCTTAAAAGGAAAGTTTGTTTTGACTTGAGGGCTTTGGCACTTTGTTCATTGATTCCAGCGAAGCCATCAATATAATTTGCTTTGACGTCATAGTGTGGGTTCTGTTTTTTTGATGACGTTAATTGAGAAAAAACGGCCTTTAGCTCAAGTATTTTCCTTCTTTTTAGCTGCTTGAAGCATCTGGTGCATTAAATTTTCAGTTTCAATCTTTAAAGATGAATACTTTGATCATTCATTATTAAGACTGCCTCGCATAATTGATCTGGCTTTGCAATGGAATTTTAAGCTTGAGTTTGTTGTTTGCTTCAATCTTAATGGGTAGATGTCACGCCACTCATGGTTTTGAAAAAAACGGCAATTGCAATGCAGCTATTCAAGCACCATGTTTTTGTTATATTACCGCGCAATGGTATGCTACTGCCATATTTTCATGTGCTTTGATTATTGATAACAGACCTAGGTAGACACAATGCCTGGTACCCTGCTAGCAAAACTGAGCTTAAATTCAGTCTTAGAGCACATTTTAAGAATAATAAATTTTAAGAAATTTTTACGTTTGAAATTGATAAAATTTGAAAATTAATTAAGAATTATTGCCTGGCTCGCCATAACTTTTTATCTACGCGATTTTTAAAAGAGAATAGAAAAGCGTGATTTTCACTCACAATGTCAGTGGAATACTATCAACACCCATCAAGCTTGTATTTCCCTATTATGTTGTTTTGTTTCCAACAATTTTTCCATGACGAAGAAAGACAATAGCAAATATATTTTCGTTATTTTTTAGCATGAATCAAGAGTCGTATCCACAAACATCTTTTATGAAAAGACAAGATTTCAGATGTTATTGGAAGAATCAGCAAAATCTAGAAACTGTATGTGTTTATTTCCTATTCTTTTATTATGTTAGTTATTTTTTGAGTTCTTAGTGATTTTTGTATCTTTTTCAACTTCTTTTCACTTTGATTCCTATATTGATTGCTAGAGTCCGCAGCAAAGTTCGCAACCATTTACACATTTGAATGAGTGGTCGTCTACATTAAGAATTGCTAACCCATTTCGAAGACATAATGAAAGTCTTTGAGACGCCGAAGCTCGAGTGATCTATTGCTTCTGCAAGGCGGTGTCATAACCTTACTTGTATTTTTAAACTTCTCTTTGCTTAGCCAAGAGACGTCGTAGAAATTCTTTTCTTTCTTTTAAACGTGGCTTCTTCTTATTTGGATGAAATTGTTTTCGCAAAGGAAATATGTTTTGAATTTTAAAAATTATTTTGAAAAAACTAAAGCAGTGATTGGCTTTCTTGCCTCAAGAATGTTTTCGTATAACTCTCAAGTTTTAAAACGACACCATCTGATTATTCAATTGATGGAACTGTCGTGGTTGTGTTGACTTTTTTCTGCAAATCGTGAACTTGGATGACATCTGATTACTCATTCATCCAACATTGACTGGTCTCCCTTATGTTTAATTCATGAGTTTTTCCTTAATCTGGTTATTTCTCTTACTAATTCCTTGTTCGTTGCAAATTTTTGGTCTATTCTTACACTATTCTCGCCACGTAGACCACTCTCGAGTCCTTCTAAGGCGGTAATCTTGTTTAGAATGGCTCGGTTTTCAATAGCTATGTTTGCAGATGCCAGCTGGTTTCTGAAGTACGCCCGGATCTGCTTTCGTTTTTACGTCTTTTGGAAACTCCGCAAAGATTTCCAAGTCTTGTTTTCTTCTTAACGCAAAACGCTCACTTTGGAAGGATTTCGAAGCAAAACAAGGCATACTTTTAAAGTTTAAATGCGATATGTAAAGAGAACTGGTCTTGTTTCGTTTTTGTAATGAACAAAATAGTTTAGGTTGTTCTTGAGAAAGAATGGGCCAAAGGCTGCTCATTGTCACAATATTCTTGTCCTCTGTAGACCAATATGTGTGGATCAGTTCACGCAGAGATAAATAAACAGATAAAAATCAAAGAACTTGAAGAAATGATTGATTGCAGTATTTATGATTAAAATACTTTTTAAACTGATGCTTTGGTAAGTAAAGGAAGTGATTAGTAGGGTAAAGAAAGAGTTGCTGATATGAATGAATTAAAAGAGACAGGAGAGTTGAAATGAAAGATGTTGATTATGAATAAACTGTATTTTTTTTTCATTTATGCCATTGTATAAAGATAGAAACACAAGTGATGGATGATGTTTTTTATTCAAAAACAATTCACTGAATTTGGACAAATGTTCTTAGTTTTTTTCGCAAGTGCTGTTCTAGATTTACATAAATTCACCTTCCAAAAAATATTCTCATTTATTCATATTCTCAAATATATATTCTTGTACTAAAATATTCTCATTTAATGGAATTGTGTTTCATGGTTTCTTTAATTTCAAAATTGTCATATTTGTGGGTGGTAAATTAAATTTTTCATACCTCTTCAGTACGAATAAAGCAACGCTAAAGGTTTATAGTGCTGCCTATTTCTAAACGCTAACTGTGCAAGTTTCAAACACACATTGAGCTCCCAAAATAATTCGTACTGTAATGCCTTATTACATTTACAATGGAAAACAGCATGTAATCGTTCATCTTTGCAGCAATCACAGAAACAACATAAAACTTGATACAGAAGAACGTTTAATAGAATGTTTGTGCTGCGTAGAAGTGATGAATTGTTATTGCTGCTGCTGTTATCTCACTTATCTGTTTACTGAAATATTAAATTTCTCACAATCGAAATATCGCATCTAATAAAATCATTCTAAAGATAGTAGCTATTCTCAGTTTTATTCATGTCTATCTTAGCTTATTAGGCAAGCAGTCTTCGGGATACACAGATTACAAGTGGCTTTGCATGCAGGTGTATTTGGTTGTCGCAACCATATAAGCAATTTCTTAGAAACTGTTTATTCATAAATTTGATGTCGTTTTGAAAAGGACTTAAGGATTGTTGAAAAGGAAAACATTTCTTGCTTTTTTGCTCGAACGAAAGTCAATTTTAGTCCATTAAGAGAAGGAATAATTCTTTTCAATTCTCGAGGTCACCGAAAGATCAGGTTGCAGCAAATAGAGTATTTCGGTCATCGTCATTATGCATCATAATTTCTTTCTTTCATACGCTAATCACCTTTTTCTAACGACGCTATTTTTGCATTTGGTTTGTCGATACAAAGATTTCATGCGCATTTCGTTTCAGCCACGCCAGTGTTATTGTTCGTAGTTCTATAACCAGGCATAGCATATTCAGTAAAGAGGTTGCCTTTCTCTGTAACGTTGACTACCTTTTATGATATCCTTAGCTTATATTTCTTACTTCCTTTCCCATTTCCTTAAGGTTTGCTTTGGGAACCTCGCCTTTTTAGCGTGTTGACTTTTTACGAATTCTTTGCTGTTGGTGTTGCTCTCTTTCATCGTTCTTCTCTTTAGCGAGCACCGTATTTTATTCCACTTTGCCTCATTTTGTTCCACTTCGTAGCGAGGCCCAGTATGCAGGGTATGGCTTATAACCTACGAAGGTGATATCTGTTTGCTACATGGTTGATAAATACAAAACCGAAGCCACAGATTTTGTTGCAAGTTAGCAGCTTTCTATAGGTATTGCTAGGCATCTGAAGAGTAACAGCTGGTATAGGTATACTTAGCATTTCACTTTGCTTCCTTGCCTTCTGGAAGTTTTTCTTAGGATGTATGCAAATGAGCTCTGTTGTTGATTTTGCAAATGATATCTGTTCAAGTAGATTAGAGTGCCAATAGGATTAGAAAATGGATGGTATGATTATTCACAGGAAATTGTGCATAGCTAATGTTGCAGTGAGAACTACAGAAATTCCTTCAATTTTAGTGGGAAAACCTTTGCATAGAAAATGTAAATTTAGATTATTTAAATCGACTTTAAACTAATCCATATCGCGACAATTTTATGACAGGTTTACATACTGAGAATAACCTTTTAAGAAAGATTTTCAACCAAACTTTGCGGATGTCGTTAAAATGAGATTTTATTGTTTCTTTTGCTCCATGTTTTCACCGACTCCTTTTTCTTTAGATGATGCTGTTATGGACTTGCTCAAAGAAATGAGTCCTTCTGCGATTGATGTCGAGTTAAGATCGGTTGCACCCGAGGTTGGTGGTAATGTCGATATGATGGAGATGATGCTTGATTTCTTCAAGTACAGAATGAAAGATGGTCGCGACTATGAACTGGTGCAATCGTACATTGGTCTGTTTTTAAAGGTATTTATGATGCCCTTTTTGATATTCACTTTTGGCTCTAACGTCCGATCTTTCTTGGTTTCTTCAAATCAACGAGAAATAGAATAAGGTTTAACGGTCAATTCAGATTAGCCAATTGATTTGATGAATTGAGCTATATTAGCCAATTGGAATTGTGGTAGATAATTCAAATTTATAGTTCAAACGTTAAGGTGAACAAAGCTCTTTACATACCAATTCCTTTATAAAAATGTGCTTTTTCCAAATTATGCGTTTTCAAAATCTACGTTTTCATCAATTTAATCTCATTCGATCCAACCGGTGTTGAAAAAGTGCCTGTCTCTACATTGATCCGAGTTACCCCTATGAAGCTCACCCCCCCCCCATCAAGCAGAAACGTTGTTTCAATCATTTCTTTACATTTCTTTACATTTCTTTACATTTCTTTACATTTCTTTACTCAATTATAAAACCAGCTTTTTCGCTTATTTTAAATATCTGGAACCCGTTTTCAAAAGTCTTCGGTTTTCAGTGTCTCAATTTGTCAGCTCTTTGTGAGGACACAAGGCAAAATCGGGTACCAGTGTATGTTAAGTGTGTACATGGCTTAAAATGACTTCTTGTTTTAAATAAACTAATTTTCCCAAATCGAATAAACCATTTGTGTTGGTTTTTATTCCCACTTTTGAAGTATAGAAATATTTGAAGAATAAACACCAGCAGAGCGCAAATAATATTTGTAGATTTCTCCATAATTTGTCGACTTTTTCATGTCGACATTAAATTGTTTTTTCTATTTTCATTGAACGCGTTTCTTTATCTTTCATACCTCGCAGTGATCCGCTACTTTTAGCATTATTTTTCGTTTTGCAAGAATTCAAAATAATGATAAAACCAATATATCTAAAATAAACATCTTTTACCAAAGATTGCCTAGATTATAAACCTCAATTGCTCACAATTAAAAATTTCCTAGTTTCATATGCAGAACAGCTGCGTTAAAATGTTTAGCAAGCGAAAGAATTAGAGGTGATTTGCAAGAGCTGTAGGCACCTGCATGCTACTTTTAGGTGATTTTGTTTAGATATAACCGACGTATGATGACATAGCTTCTCTTGGAAGTTTTTTAATCAACTCAAAGCCTTCAATTTTTTCTAACACTTTTCAATGCGCCACTGCTGTTTTAATGCTTACGAAGTTGATTTTATCGATATATTGATCTCAAAATCCTGTTCAACTGCGATGCAAAGCATGGTCAGGTCTCATTCTAAAACCCATACCAACTTTCTAAATCCAACCGTCACCTGTACCTTAACATTTTGCCGTTATGCTGCTGTTCAATTTCGTATATAAAAGATTTATCTTCCACAGAAACTGCGTTTGATGAATTTTGCTAATGTGTAAGAGTAATGGCTGTTATTTTGGTAATTTTGTTATCATCCACTATTTTCAAAGTAAATCAGACTTTATAAAGCTGTAATGTTTCAAGGTACTGAGGTAATCAGGCAGATTTTTTCAGGCTTCGAGCTGAGAGGGGCTAAAAAAGGTTATGAGAAAGTCCCTAGCAATAACAACCATGAACTTTACGGTTTTGATGACTTCATCGCGTGTTTATCATTCTTTTCACCTGAGACCCTATATAAACTCTCGGCGGATCTAAAGGTGATCAATTCAATTGAATGCTTACTCTTCCAATCTGCTTGACAAAGTATTTTTTAGATTAATTATCTATACAGTTGAAAAATGCTGCAAAAATTCTTCAAGTATTATGAACTTTTAGTTTCACTATCAATTAGACAAATTCTGACCCGACTGAAAGAACGCTTTTTACATTCCATGCGTCACGTGCTCTTTCTATTTATTTTGTCTCTTGAAGATTTTTCATCACCAGTCTTAATGTTCAGTCGACGGCCCTACTCGAACATAACGCAAAACTTTCCATGTTTGGTCTCTATTCGGTTTTCACGTCCTTCCATTAAAATTTGAAATAAAGTTTGGGATGCACAAACTTTTACGTAGACGACGTAATAGTGTGTCATTGTGACGTAAGTTTTTCCAGTTACGTCAGACCTAGTTTTAGGTTAGTTTGTTTAGAGTACTCAGCACGTGATTTTATTAAGTATCTTTTTTAAGAGTCAATTGTAGGTCTTTCGAAGCTCTAGAAGATTATCTGAATATGTGTTAGAGGTTTGATTAAAGTTTCAGTTACAGAAAGGCCGTATCTTTGAGAGGGCGGATACAATTGACCATTGCCATGGGCTTCGTTTGTGAGAAAAAAGGGGTTTGATTTATGTCACCCTCGTTTTATATGTCTACGCATAATGTACCTTGGCACAAAAACAATGAGTCATTTGTCTGTCTGGAGAAGGTTGAGCGATCAAGTTATCTGCGAACCGCCATAAGGTTCGTTAACAGTGAAAGTTGGCTTAAATTTAATTTTACAGCGATTTTCTTAGTACAACTAATCCATTCAGCGTATTATTGAAAACATTCAAGGGTATTTGGGAAATCCAATTTCAAATAAGAGTGGAATATTCATCTGAATGAGGAATTTTAATGAAAACAAAAACATGAGCCATTTTGCATAAATTAATTGTCTCTAATGTTATGCACGCTCGAATGAATGTCTAAGCAATTTTATTTCGAAAGTAATTTGCCATATTTCGCTATTTCATAGTTTTGAATAGAAAAGCTTTAATACTTGCAATTGTAAAATATCGTCTAGGTCAATAAATTTCATCAGCAAGTTTTAATGTGAACTTGTAGCTTAAATGAAACTCATTTGAGGTCACACCGATTCATTGTTCTCAAAAATTTGGTTAAAAAGGAATTTCACTAGACAATGTGTGCGAATGAACAGATATGAACTATGCCGAAACCGATCTCTCTTTATTAATCGTGCGTTGGAACAATTTTCCCGTTCTCCGGACCTTTGCGAACACGCAACCATTGTAATTTTGCAAGGACCTGTCGAGAACCTGATATTGTTGACGTTGTAGCGTTTGTGCGAGAGGCCTTGCATCTCCGCGTCTATTGCGCTCGACCAATCGTGGGCCTTTCTTTGCGTTTAGCAAATGGATAGAGGTGCAGCCGCCTTTTTTCGAGTAAAAATCAGATCATTTTTTAGAAAATTTTCACTACTAGGAAAAATTTGCAAAAAGGGCCCAACGAAAAATAACTGAAAGAAGCACACGGCTCTACGCTGCAGTTAGCCGTTTATTTGAAAGAATAAAATATGCAGCCACAGCTAGAGAAAGTTAATAGAAAAAAAATAGTGCAATGCAAACCTCAGACAGTTCGCACTGGACACTGTCACACAATCTTAAACCGTTAAAAGATCAGGGACCCAGTTGCCCTCGGTACCGAAGCCACGTAGATTCGAGTACAGAAATAGAACATAGGAACGGCAAGTGGAGGAGCGGCAAGTGGAGGAGCATCTCTCTGAGAAGAATGAAAAGTGGCTCTGGGCTAACCCTTCGTCTCAAATTTATGATCCTCCGCTTGCCGCCCCTATCTTCTATTTCCAGTCACGAATTTATGTGGCTATGATACCCAGGGTAGGATCCAGTTTGCTATTTGAGTATTGTAGCTGAACAAATGGAGCACAGCATCGCTGTAGAGTTATATGTGATGTTTCTGATAAAAACAATCTACTAAGACGTTGCGTGAGTAGAAAGGATTAATTTGAGTTGGATATCATGAGATATACCGTCATCCGTTTTCATAGGAACGGACAAAAAAGCGTGATACAATAGGCGGTACGATATAAATCTAATCCATAAATTGCAAAAAAAAGTACAAAGTCAAGAAATACAGATAATTTCATTGAAAAGTTTATTTAAAAAAGACGACGGATTTCTGTGATTTTGGCTCTCATTGCTGGGGAAGGCATTGGGCCTACTGGGGAATTTTCCCCAGTAGTTACACTGTTAAAAAATGCTCTGGTAATGAAGTAGTTGGAATCCCTGTTGTGCCCAGGCCTCCAGACTATGAGGCAGTTCTAGAAAGCACAGCTAAACACTAGCGTGATCTTTGTAATACCTTGATGAATGGATGAGCATCAATGATAAATTATTGAGAAAAACGAACAATAAAAGTCTCTTTCAATACTCCACTAGCCAGCTTAAGAACTGAACAGTTTGATTTCTTTTCAGCTTCATGGAAAGCAGATTGCATCGGAGCCAAAGCTGAGGCAGCAAGCAGAAGATATCGTTGAAATTAATAGGAATGGATGGTTGCGATGTCAAGAACTTATCAATCAATCAACCTGCTTGATAAACTATTTCAAAAGTGCGACTCTTTGATGAATATAATGTTTATGGAAGTTGTATTTTAATCCGATGCTTTTGATTTAAATAAAAAAAGTAGAGAGGAATTGCATTTGCCTTTGCCTTTTTTGTATTCTTGAAGCCACGCATTTTAACTTGGCTCCCATATTGCAAAGGTTGGTCATGAATCGCCTGTTCGTTTTGAAAGAAGAAAATCAGTTCCTACGTTTTACATATTTTCGTGCATTCATACATAACTAGATAAACACGGCGCGTTCTCGGTATTAAAAGGCTGTTTTGCACGATTTCGCGATTAGTATGAGCTGCATATCAGAGGATATCCAGCGATTTTTGAGGATATTCCAGACTTCATTTGCATTGTTAACAGGAAAACCAATCCGCTGAGCTTCTCCTATTTTGCATCCAAATTGACAATTTGAGGTGCTTCAGATAGATTGACCCTGATGTGCCTCTCGGGTTGACCTTAGCCGTGTTCCTTTTTCTGTTTATATACGAATGTATACAACGAGATGGAACTCGGGACAGTTATTGCCTACTTTCGTATTCGTTCCTAATTGATCCAGATTTTTGCCTACACATTTATTAGGCAGATCTATAATAGCACCGGCATAGTAAATGTTTCAGTTATTTTGTACCCGGACAGTTTGTACCCGGAAAAGCTTAGAGGCAGGTTTCAGTTACAGCGTGCGCAATGTTCTCAAACTTTTGTATCTATTTCTGTTTTTAAGGCAAAATTTGGATGAAAAATTCGCCTAGAAAATTTATACTGCTAGTTGAACTAAAATCAAAAAGCACTTGAGCGATTTTTGATGATCGATTTAGACAAAAGAACATTTTACGAAAACTCTGCAATTTCGAAACAGCAAACGTTTGCCTTGTCAATGATTATCTCTGGCAGTATACAAAGTTTTGGTATTTTGACTGCAGAAATGCCCCACCTATCTTAAACTCGGCAATGTCTGATTGGAAAAGCAGCACTGTAATCGTATTTCTGTTTGCCTAATCCATTTTTAATCTTCTTCAAGGTCAGGTCTAAAAGTGCTGTAAATGCGATAAAATGACCTATTTAAATGTTGCCTCTGCACCTTTAACCTTCTTCCTTCAATTTTGTATCCTTAAGTCAAAATTTTTCTATTAAACTAAGTAATTTTGTCATTTAGCAAAAGTCTAGGCATCGATGCATTAAAAATACTTGCAAAACTTCCAACCAATGTTAAAAAATAAACTGAGAAATTTGACAGCTCTTTGCAATCTTCTTTGCGCAAGACCATTCTTAACATGTCAAGTTGATTCTACGCACGTGTAAATCGTCGATTAATGAAGCTCAAACTGATGCGTTTCAATTATTTTGTTGTTCATATTAATTTTCTTTTGCAAGTATTTGTGGAGTATCTTTAAATTAAAGCCAACATTTTCTGTGAAGGGTGACGGAATCAAGGCACAGAAAAAATGACGGTCACTCGGCTAGAAATGTGCAAAATCGCAATAAAAACAATCACGTTTAATCGCTTATCTTTTGAAGGTTTTAAGAGCTTAAGTCTCTATCAAGATGAAGGCTAATCACATTTCTTGGTTCTCGGACGATGTTTTATATTTTTACCTTTAATTTTGAAAGATTTTTCCTCTTTTCGCTTCATCCGAACGACTTTTCCTTGAATTTTACTAGCTCACCTTGCGAGTTTTCATAGCGGCTGGAACTCGATTAATTTTATTTTCGTTGGCATTTAAGTTGTTTGCTTTTCGAAATGTTCGCCTGTGGCAATAAAGCAATGTGCAGACTTTTATTAATTTGTATTAGAAATAAAGGGTCGATTAACATTTGTTTTCGGCATAATGCATTTATTAACAGTAATAAACTGGAGAGAAATTTTCAAAATATAACTCACATTTCAGTTTAAGAGTTTAATGAACTAAATGAGTTTGAGAATAACAAGGACAAATCGGCCTTAAGTACGAGTGAATTATTTATATCAATTAGAAGTTAACCATATCATTTAGTTTTGAGTTTGTATTAGTTTGAAGGAATTCAGGAAAGTGTCTTGAAAAACATGCATTTTTATATAAACATGAATGTCTTGTTTTACATTATACTGATAAGTTTTCCATCGGAACAATTTTGTAACCCCTTCCGAAACATATTACAAATTGCAAGCCCTGTAATCATCTAAAAGCCTCTACTAAGCAATTAGATCGTTTGTTTATAAAGTTTCTCATTGTATCTAATACTTTTCTACTAGCGCGTATAGAAAGTATTATCGATGGACATTTTTGTCGAAGTTTATTTCTTTTTAGGGAGCCTTGGTCTGTCACACATACGTAGAACGCATTTCAAAGTAGATGGCACGTGTTGGCAAAAATTGGGTACCTCTGTGAGCTGCAAATAGGTACTTTTGTCCCTGAAAAGTGGGGAAGGGCACATGCCCCTTGTGTGCATAGCTCCTACATATATGGCCTATCATATTGTAGGTTGGGTCTCAATTCGCAATGGGTTTCCTCTTTGGAGCAAACCCTTTCATTGCAAAGCTTTTCGGCTTGTCTAGTTTAGGAAAGTTTAAGAACTTTCAATGCATAGCAGCTAAGGTACTTGATAAGCCAGTCACTTATGAAGAACCTTTAGTTAACAGACCAGATATCGATGAAAGCCAACTGCTCAGGTAAAATTCCAATGACACTCAAAGTGTAAAAGAAAGTGAAGCGTTGCTAAAATTATTCTTTTCTGCGTAGAACAGGATTGTTTTTAAGTTGAAACTCGGAGCTTCGTGCCTGATGGGATGAACAGGCGAATGTACTTGCTGTTTAGTTAATAAATATAACTTAATTAAAGTTACAAATTCCCTTCCAGATATTTTCATTTCATAAGTTCAGATCTGGGACACTTCCTCGAATTTGCGACACTGTACTTGCGTATAACTTCCATAAGTTAAATTTTTTCGTTGCAAGATTCGACATCGACATTTCCAATTGGCATAATTGGTTTTGAACAGAAAACATCTTCTACCAAAGGTGGGTTATTCATATTTAATCCTTCGATTGTCTCTTATCTTCAAAAGCATCTACTACCTCGATTCAGCTTTTGGAATCTCGACAGCTAATTTACCACTGGCTGCTAAAATGTAAGTAATGTTGTGTGCCCCAGGAATCATACCTTGATCCACTTATATTTGCATAAGGCTAAGCTAACTTTAGCTGCTATGCAGGCATGCTACTCCATGGAAATCTCCTAAACCCTTGGTAGAAATCATATTGTTTCATCGGTAATTACCTAGAAATCCGTTTGTTTTGTTTTACTCTCGTACGCTGTTTGTAAAGAGTGAAACAACAAGACCAGAAACAAACTTACTGTAGCAATGATTTTCAAAGAAACCACAAGCGAGGCCTGCATTGGTAACACAAAACAGCTGTTAGTGTTGCAAAGTTAGACTCTTTTTATTTCATTTAACCGTCGCTTGATAAAGAACAGCAATCATTGCTAATGCTAGCTCAGTCAGTGGTCAAAACAATCAAAGAAATGATTCAGCTTGAAATGGCTACGCTGGAAAGCTCGTCACGATCTAAATCTACCCTTTACCAAATAGCGAGTTTTTATTGCTTCACGATCAATTATGAGATGGTTTCTGATGTAATAAAGTAAATCCTAGCAAATAAGAACATTCCTCTTAAAATGCCAGACCGGCAGACTCAAAATCTTTTAAATTATGAACCTGACGTTTTTCAACCTATTAGATTCTTAAACATAGAGTGCTGAATAGAAATGACTACCTGTAAATTCTTAAATAGAGAGGTTCTTTCCTGTGGTGATCTACTGTAAGGGCCAAGTAATTTCTTGAAATATAGATCCCCAGGGCGGTCGCTAGAAACCAAACCACGATGTGCCGACAATCTAAATTTAAAGTGCCGACGACTATAGAAATGGTTGCCGACATATTTTATGAACTCCCCCTTACAGTTTCTTTAAGTCTTAAAATGTTTTGAAAATAAAGGAAACAAATGTTTTTATCCGCCAATCAAATCGTATATACATTCTTTAAACTAAAAATTTCGTTAAAGCGTTTCAAATCACCAAAATTTGACATGAAATTTTTTTGATGTGCCTAGCTAGGAGGCCCTTGTACAGTACATTTTTTACTGGCTAAGCAAGTTTTAGCCATTTATTGTTTGGTTTCTGCCAAAGACAGAATGATCTTGCTTTTTGGATGTCTTGTTTTAAAAAGATCAAGGATAACGTAAAGGCCAAGCATCTTGGCCCGCTTTGACTGAATATCATGCAAATATCTTGCTTGACTGTGAAAATGGCTGCGCATTTAATCGGTATCACACGCCTTGGGCCAAGACCGCAGAAGAAACTTCCCTGCAAACAAAGCGAGCAGAACAAATTTGCGACCACGCCCTTAAGTTTAGCTTTAAATATGTTTATGAATATTTCTAGGAGCCATTTTCTTCCACTTGTTTAAAATGTTTAACTATTCTCAACATACTTTTGATATGTTTGAGTAATTCCATTCTTAAAAATTGAATTAATTATTTTATAAGGCCCCCATAGAGTCTTTAAGCTCTGGGGAAATTTGCCCCTTTGCCCCCCTTTATGTAGCCTGTGTTACAGATTCTTACTTTGCAGGACCATATGCTAGGTCACTAGCGCTGGATGGGGCAAGATATTGCGAGTGATCAGCCAGAATCATTTATAATAAGCCATCATATCACACAAACTACTGGAGATCATTTTAGACAAGTAGCAATAGTGAAAAAGTGACAATTTTGATATCCAGGATGAAAAGAATAGAACTGGTACTAGTGAAAAACAACTTCAATTTATGATACCTGCCGAATCACAAACATTGTAGATTTTATTTATTTTCTTCATTTATACCTAAAAACTGCCTGAATATGAGAGAAAAATGTATCTAAAGGCTGTTACATTCAATACAAATGACCTTATCCTGCTCAGTTGTTTCTGATACTGTCTGACAGCATAGATACATGACAATGTGCTGTTGTTTCAAGCTTAGTTTAACAACTGTAAAATATTTTGAAACAAAGCTGTATCCTAAACGAGACATATTAGAAAGACTTGGTTTTTCACCTTACT